AAATGGCCCAGTTCCGAGTTAGATTTGGTGCGTAACTAAAAGGTACGTGTCGCCTGTGCAACCACAGAACTAATCGTCAAGCTCTAAACTGTTGAGAAAGGAAGACTATTTTACTGGATCAATCACGCAATAAAACCGTGGCTTTGAGTTCAGAGAACATAATTTCCGGATAAAGATTAAACTGACTGGCTATCACAAAGAAGATCTTGACTCATAAAAGGCTGGTATTTTTGCAAATTGCACTTACCAAATAAAATTATCCTGAAGTTTCTTGTTGCCTACCTATATTCAACTGAGTAAAACCACCCTCTTAAATCATCCACAGGGTTGGGTAACATTTTGACGAAAATTGTTTCCTTCCAAGATGACTTTTTTAAAGGGTTATGTCGAAACAAGAAAATTTCTTGTGCTATTTGCTTGTTAATAGCCTTAGAAAATTTGCGTAAAGCAAAGATAAACCTTTAAGTGGCCGGACATGTATCATGTGAACAAAATTCGTTCTTATCAAAGGAAAAGATAACTTAGTGTCCTTTTCTTCCTTAACTGTGTTATATAACTGTGTTATATTTACGGATGTCGACCTGAAAAAAATTTTCTGGAACGCTTTCTCTAAAGGACTTTAGGCTCGGAATTTGGAAAGGTTTCTTTTTCAGTCAAGAAATTGGTTGGATTTTGGTCTTTAAACGCCAGTTTTAAATCCAAATATTTGTCCTAACAGAAAGTGTAATGTGAATGTCTAGAATTCCTAATCAACTCTAAATGACACCTACTCGTCGGCTGAGAATCCCCTATTGTCAAAATTTATTTAAACGCACCTTGGGTTGAAGTTCAGAGGAAGCAAGTTGAATACCGGCTTTTTTCGGTTGTGATATCTGGGTTTACAGAATTTTTTAAGTGAGTGTATACGTCCGTCTCTCATGAGTTCAAAGGAGATACGCCAAACTCCCTGCCAGAACATCTCCGTATTGAATGTGGCGTATCTGGCGCGAAAGCGGGTTTTACGGCTCTTTTTCCTAAAAGCTGAGGAAATGTTTTAACTTCGTAAATAGGATTAAATTTACTGCAATTAACTTCTACTGGAAACCTGACTACTCTCACGCAAGCTTCAAAAATAACAGCTTTAGGATTCGTTATTTTTAATAGCGTTTAAAAGTGTTAATTGTAGCCACGCGTCTAAAGCGGAAAGAGCTTTCAATAATTTTTTTCTAACCCAATTTTGTTTTGTGAAGAGTTTCTGACCGAAACCTCGTGCACCAGTGGCTCCGATTGGAAAGAGACCAAGAGTGGGCATAGGGCACGTCCACGTTCAGTTTTGTTGTTGCTTTTGGATTTTTTTACCTAACCTTGGTAAAACAATCTCATCATTTTTGTGTTGTGAGATGACATTGGGTTTACCGCCAAAGCCTGAATTTTTTTTTGACTCTGCGAGACGAGGCAGAATTTTGCAAGCGCTCAGCTGAACCCTGCACTTGTGATAAAACAGTTCTGATTGAATTAGTCAAGTTATCGCGCTCTTAACTCATTGACCATCGTGAGAAGTTAACCTGAGCATTAAGCAGCAGATAGCACTCGGTTGTGACTTGAACCAAATTGACTGATCTTCGGGCTGACAAAGGACTTAATGAGGTGCTATAATTTTGTTATGCAGTAATACACATAGACAAAAATATTTTTTCAGCTCAAAAAGGCGCTCGCTTGAAATTTTCGACAGCCGTTTGGAATAATAACCGCTAAGATGAATCTCCCCTTATCTGTAAGCAAATCACCACATCATACAGTTTCGCGAACTGACTCCGTAGTTTTGGTGTTTTCTGACTTTTCGTGTTCAAAGATAGCACCGTGTATGTGACTAGTATGTTATTGTTCGCTCTATAGTATTGTTGTAGTAGACGCCTAAAGCTTTTGGCCGTGGTATGGTTCCTTACTGATATGTTTATTACAGACTGAATTGTTCGTAAAATCGGAAATTCTTCACCATATGCAGGGTTAGATAAACCAATGCGCGCTATCATACGATTGTTATCGCACTGACCTCACCACGGCTAGGCATTTGAACATTGATATCAGACCCAAGCTTTCTTAAATTCAATTTATAGACCGACATATTTTATCTTCGAGTTCGTTTCACCTATGTCGTTATAAAGACTGATGTAGATTATCAGTTCCGCTTCACCGACAAAGTTATCGTAGAGAAGACCCGATGCATTCTAAAGTTGGTCCAGTGGAATAGTACTGGCGTGATGGCCAATGGTTGTCCAATGGGCACTGCGTTTTGCCTTTGCCAAATTCTGAAGGAATGTGCTTTTGCAATTTGAACCGAGCTGTGTAGGTGAAAATAGCTGCATTGTAATCGGAAATGTCCACTTAAACTTGATTTACGGTTGACACTAGAATCTCGATTAAATTTTTTAGAAGCAAAACGTCGAGACTCTGCAAGAAACAATCTTTGGCGCGTTGCACGCAACAGTGTCTATCGAGTTTCATTTAAAGTTCATGTTGGAAGTTCGTATTGGCCTGTTTAGGCTTGCATACGATTTTAGTCAAGATTTTACAAGTTACTACAGCCAGTTGATGTGTAATCATATCTTTGTTTGATTTGAACGGCTGTTGGCTTCTTACAAACCTGAAGACCAAAAGGAAACTGTTTTACATTTCTAAACTCGCCCTTTGGAGCTCGCTCTCTTCGTACTTTCCAAAAAGTGTTTTGATAACCGAATCGATGAAACACCGTGAGTGAAAAATTGTCGCTTTCTAACTATAACGTACTACGTTTGAAGCTCTTCTTTAACCACAATAATTTGTGATGTCTACCTTCGTCTGATGTAAGGCCTGTTATCGTACTCAATGTTAGATAGTCTTCGCGTGCATTTTGTCCTATTCTCGTCATGGTATACCTTTAAAAAATGCCCTTTCTCTGAAAAAAAAAAAAAACGCGACATAGTTTTCTCAACTTCTAACTTCATGGAGAACTTAAATTCACTGACTGGCTTAGAGTAACTCCCTGATCGTGTGAGAGAATGGGTTCTTATTCTACAGTCATTTCCAGACGAGACTCTTCGATAAAGAAATATTTATCTTTTCGATGAATAAACAGGCAAAGCGTTATTTCAAAACTATCTATCGGTCTCAGCCAAATTCCACTTAGTAAACACATTCCGACCGTTTCTTTCAGATTTGGATTCGAGGAAATGTCATCAGTTGGATGAAAAATTTTAAAGACTTTTTATCGAGATATTCTTTTATGCTCCTGGCACAACACGACTAATCGTCAAGCGGTACCTCTACTCAGAGAGATCACTTAACTTTGTGCACTTCTCTATAAGAGCAGTATTTTCAATACTGCCACCCTTTCAAAAGAGCTGTTTGTATTAATTATAAATCGTCTGTCGTTAATGTGTTTTCACATAACCAATACTCAGTCGCTAGCGTGCTAGGTGTCACGTCTGGCCTTTTTTTTCTTCTTCTGTGGCTGTGAATGAAGGCTTCCTGTGAGAAAGTGCTATCTCAAGGACATAAATACAATAACAAAATAACAAAATATAAAGCTGGTCGAAAAATCAAGCTGGGTTAAGCACAAATGTACTACAGTCACCCTTGTCACCTGACATTTACCGCCAGGTTCCCCTCAGCAAGCGAAACGTACTACGTTTCCTCTGATTGGTATTTGAAATCTTTGAGGAATGGGCAGGAAATAGTCACGCGCTGTCAACTGAGAACCGTTTATGTCGAGAAACTTTTGTTTCTGGAGAATGAAGATAATAAATGCGTAGCTCAAACTTTGCTTTTGCGCAGCAGAAAGTGTCGGATCCGAGCTGTTCAACATTTCTTTCAAGAGCTGAGTTTTTATCCCTATTATGAATAAAGGAATTATAATATAACAACAAATGAAAACAATGTAATTGGTTATTCGAGTTTTTAACTAAATCTTAAAAGTATTTTTTTTTCTGACTGATTATTTTTAGTCTTGTAGCTTTTTTTTTTATAGCCATTTAGCGGTTTTGAGATCAACTTTCATTAACGTATAATTACTTAAGTATTTTGTTCGAGAGAATTTGCCGAAAAAGGTTAATTGTGATAAATTGCTCATCAGATCCTCCCTTCTGAATATATAGTGCTCAGTATGGATCACTTGTTTTTCGAGCGTCGCTAGGAAGCGTCTGCTTGCGCGCGAAGTGTATGTTGAGATAAGATCCCGTAGTTTTTTTGTATATAAAATATCAAAAGTTGGTAATCACCTGATATCATGTTTATCCCACGTGAACACCAAAGTCCTTTTGAAAATGTTTTGCCTTAGTGTATGACTTAATAACCCGTTTCGTTTTCTAAACCGATTAACTAAGGAATCCTAAAATCGCGTTTGTCAGTTTTTGTACCTTAATATGCGAGTAACATTAATAATGAATGTGCTCGCAGTGCTAAGTCCAAATTGATTCGACGACGAATATCAAAAAAATTACTCTTATGATCTCGTAATTATAACGTTGTCCAATCAGGAAGCTTATTACATCAACCATGGTTTAAGAAACTCGCCGAGATTACATAGGAGAACGTGATGGAGCGGTATAAAGTAACGTTATAAAAACCTTCAAACCTTTTTACTTATAGGATTGGACTGAATAATTACGTTTGAGGAGTGAAAGCTAAAAATTCCACGGCTTAAAATTGTTGTCGTCGATATTTACCAAACATTACTACATAGACGCAATTCAGAACAATTACACTTTACAAACACGAAAGAAACACTTAGGAAAAAAGTCAGGTCTGTATGCAGCCATTATGAACTTAGGGTACTATAAGTAGGGGGAATATTAGGTGCCCGTTCTTAGACATCATGCTAAATAATATGCAAAAAAATGACAAAAAGAAGATCCGTTGTCTAACTAATTGGATGAGAAAAATTCCTTAAACATCGAAATTGGACGAGGTATGTGATAACGAAGAGAATAATTACGAGGGTCGAAGTTCAGGCCTGTTTCATGTCCTTTCCAGCCGAGCGTGCAAAACACTTCGGTTTTGTAGACCTTATCTTTCTTCCCAGGCGAATAAGTACTGATGAATTGTTGAAGTGATTTGCACTCCAAGACGCATCAGTCGCAACAGATGCCTCTTTCCAGAACATGTCAATGCCGGCCGAGTGTTTTCAAGGGCTGATCACGAAACAGAATTGGCGCCACCGTTGATCAGCATTAAGGTGGGAAAAAGCCAAGAGGGCGGGGAACAAGCTAGTGATCCAAGTGAGTGTCTACAACTGAAGGTACAAGGCAAAGAGACGGACATTAATCCGTTGTTGCTTGCTGATTGTATTCAGGCAGAGGTTCAAATCGGGGTATGGAAGCCATTATTTTCATGTAAATTTGACCATAGCTCTCATTTTACCTTGTTAGATCTTCAAACAGCCTATCGGACTGTAATACTGCTGCGCATCGGAGAAAGTCCCAACTCCCTAGCAGTATATTCACTACTTATCTTTTGAAGTGATATCACAGTAACTTAAATTTCCCACCTCTCTCTCTTAAAACAAAGACGGGGTTTTCAAGCTCACTCTGACTTTTGTATTTAAGCTGAACGCTTGTTTCAAATCTTAGCGTGAAGGGTTTTCTATAGTATGGTCAGGTGTTCTAAATGTGTCATTTGACTGGGATATTTAAACTGTTTAGAAACGATATGCTGTTGCTACTTTTAGCCATTTATTCAACCGGCTAAAATTCACTTCCAAAAATAATCACAACTCATCGTGTAGTACAACTTATCAACCTTTGTGATCTGACTTTTACATCTGCAATTGCAAAAGGCATATTGTTTTTTCCAAACCGAACTGCTGGTTATACGATAAGGAACTCCCAGAAGTTTGTCCATCCCGCAACAGAATGCATATATATCCAAGTATAGCGTACATATGTACGCTCTTCACTCCAAAGGCTTTCATTATTTGAAGGTTAATGATCGATTTTTGGCCTCACTTGAAAGAATTTAAGAAAGCCTTCATGAGCTGAAAGTGAGAGCTAGTCCGGTACCCGAAAAAAATTTTTGGCAAGTCATTAATTATTAATTGATCGTGACTATTTTGTTTCGTGAAACACTGGAAACCTATCAGGTTATAAATAAGTACGTAAGAAATCGAACAACCTCTTCTTGCAATATTTCATGCTGACTGTCGTGAAACTTCGTTTAATCGTTGTGGTACACAGTAAAACTCCGATCGTGCCACACTCATCGTAACCGCGAACCAAATCTTGATACTTGTGAAGCCGTTCTCCAAACATCGTCAAGCATGATTTTAAAAATTGTGGCAGAAACAAAGGCCATTTGGTAACACAATGGTGAGCACTTCCTCAGGATTTTTCGAATTGAATAACTGTGTTAGTTATGCTCGAACTGATTAACTTTTTGTTGTGCATTTGTTTTTTCACAATAAAAGACTTGAGCTCTTAGCTGCGGCGATATATGCTAATGTCTGAGATAGCTACCATATGCGTTCTTCATTTACTTGGACGTTCTCTACGTTCCAAAAGTCTTTGCTTTCCGTTTGAATTCCGTTGGCGTAATTATTTTCATCACATTTAATCATTCACTTTCCATGATTAATGAACGATAAAGAACTTAATGTCCTTATCATCAGTCGGGAGTGACTGGAAGAACACTGGACGGAAAAAAATGAAAAGGTCTCTTTTCGAAAGGTTTTCTAATTCTTTGCACAAATTCCACGAAAACAGTGGATACAATGCGAGGGGAAAAAGGCTTTAGCTTGATCTCATAAACCTTATGACACATGGCCAGGCAGTCATTTCAGTTCAGTTGTAAATTATTACTGTTTTGCGAATGACCGAAATGTCGCATTATGAAATAGAAAGTTTATTTGGATGGGTACATATTGGTAGGGCTTCGCTGATCTTCCGATTTGAATCTTTAGCAATAAAAAATTCTACAACATAGACATTTCATCGCAAAGAAACTGGTGCTCAGTCGCGTGCAAGTGAAAAGACTTCTTTAAAAGCGCTCTATTGGCAGTGATAAATTGAGAAATACAATATAATAGTTTTCGTTCAGGCAATTGCCAGGGGCTACATGCTAGACCGAGAAAATCCTAGTCGCGGTTATAAACGTCTTTTCTCTCTGGAAAATTAGTTTTTCAAAATATCGACAGAGAGCGTCAAAATTAATGTTACCTCAAAGCTGTAGATTGACCATTAATCAATTTAATTTCTGACAATTTCGATTTGATAAAATCAGAACCGTTCAACCAGGGGGTCTGTAAATCAGTTTCACTCCCTGTGAATACTCTTGTGAATTAACGATCTTAAAATTGTTCAATTATTCTTTATATTTCAACTAAGTGTGTCAGTGCTTTGAGGGTGGGGCAGTAATCCAAACTTGTTTTTAGTAAATTACTGCTTTTGAAGTTTCCTTATTTTTAGCAGTACAGTTTATTTAGAGCAGTCTCAAGAATTATTTGAAAATCGCACACAGTGAATCCATATCGTTTTATGTAAGATGTAACAGTTTATGTTCTTTAGTTGATGACAACATTTAAAAGAGATTGAAGAACGGAGCTAAAATTTCAGTTACTTGGAAGAGACAAGTTCTGAGAGTCTTGCGAAATCTATCGTCATGGTTAATGTTCAGACTTTACGAGATTCCTCACAGACTTGCAAGTAATTTCCTTTACTCTTGCGGGACTAAAATAAGCCTTCCTGTTGCACCTTAAATGGTGTTCTGGTGGTTTTTAGATTTCTACTAATATCTTCCCTTCAGGGCTTCAGGGAAGGTGACCACTGCATAATATATTAGCAGGATTTTTACTTTTTTGAAAAAATTTTCCCCTATCAGCAATAATCTGTCTTTAACAAAAACATCCAAAAGCCGTGATTTGTGCGCAGTAAGAAAAAGATTATAAGGTTGTAAGGTGATTATGTCTTGATGTAACGACACTTCACGTTGCTAGGTGAGGTAGATGTCTGAGGGGCCCAGTAAAGTAGAGTACTGGTTGATATTTTTGGATTAGACATAATATTGAGACAATACGAGCCTTTAAAGCGTAAGTGTCTGTCTCCTAACCGTAAGGGTCGGATATTGTTGGCGCTTACCTTTCACTCAAAGGAACTCAGTCGTTAGGCACATTATTTCATCGATATTTATTCTTCTCCGAAACCATCAACCTTAAAAAAAATCTTTCCTTTGCTCACATTTTATCTAACATGGCGAGCTTATGAGTAAACACCTGTTGAGACAGAGGCGTGTGAGCACTTGGGTTTATCAAAAATGGTTTTTATCGAAACACTTGATTGGTTTGTTTATACCAAGCATATTTCCCATAGCGATTAGAAGTAATTTAAGAAACATAACCTCGATAAAGGAGTTGCAATGTTCCATCTCTGTAATTGTCATGTGTCGACTTAAAAGCATTTTTAGAGAGTGTGTTTTTCCGTGGGAGTCATAGCAGATTGAACACTCGAGTTGTTAGGAACAAAGTTTGTGGTGCGTTGCAACGTTTAAAGGTTACATTATTTAAAGGTTATGGGACTTTGAGGTTGGAAATTTCAGTGCCAGCAACAGCACTGTCGAACAACATTTAAGGAAATAATTCTTTTGAGTAAGTCAACTTTTATCTAGTCAAGGTCGCCACTGGGAACCTCAGATTATGATTAGTTATTGTTAAGCTCTGATTTTAACAAAACACAGGATATGGATCCCAAAGGTAAAGGTAAAGGTAAAGAAAGAAAGAAGTAAATGTTATTTGTACCAATTTGCCTGTGACACACACATAAATTGATCAATTACAAATCATTTAGTAGGAAATGCAATTAACAGTCGTTGCAATGTGACTCCGATTTCTTGCTCGTAGAAAAGTTTCAGTCCGTCAGGTCTCTGTTGACTAGTGCCCAAAATTTGCGATTCGAAAACAAAACGAAATCCGCTGAAAGTACTTCAACGACTTATATTTGAGTAAAAACACCGCAGTATCATTTAGTTCATGGTCGACATCTGCTGAGGCAGATGATTGTTGAAAATATTCGCTCTGTGGCTTCCTCTTTTTCATTGAAAATTAAGATAGAGTTAAAATGTATGGCCAGTGCATACTTGTCTTCAAATAAAATACACATACACGCGTAGTAACGGAAACGTTCCGGCTCTTTAATAGCTTTAATAGCGACTTTCGTAGCTTTTAGTCGACTTGATGGTCCTTTTTCCCAAGCTGCAATCACGGGGAAACAAATGGAAATGTTCAATTGCTCGAGGTGATATGTTCAGACTTACATCTACCATTATGTTACTAACTAATAACCATCATTATTAGCTTTAGTTTCAAAAATTATCTTCCTTTTTCGTTTGGTATATATATATATATATATTTTTTTTTTCAAGTATCAACGGAGAGGTCATATTTGAAGGTGTTTACTTTCTTTTTTATTGTGGATGTTAATCTCCCGTGCAAGCCTAACGTCTTTAGTTTGAATGTTAATGCCTGCTACATTGATGCACCCCAGCAGACATATTAAAATCCGCCTTTAAACTCAAGTCCATACCTAGAAAAAAAAGGAAGTAAGTTGAAAAGTTATCAGAACAAAGCTCTATGTCACCTAAAAAAAGAATTCATATTACTTTTCGAATCCAGAAGTATATATTGTTTCAGTATCCACTAGAAAAAACGTTTTCAAATACCGTTATACATCATCGTCTAAGAACCAAATTGCTTTGTTGAAATCGAACGTTCAGAGTTAAATTCCAGTCATTTTTCTAGTTCTCTGAAGTGCACTGTTAATCCCCGCAAACTTACAGTTGTCTATGCGTCAGTGTCATTTAGCTTTTACGTTGACACTAAACCAGTCAAATTACAAGTTTAAATTGTTGATGTTTTCCGTTCAGGACATATGCAGAGCTGGCTAGAGCCAATTCGAAATAAACAAGACACTGTTGATTCCGGAAATCATCATTGCCGAAGTAACTATTCCATGAATTAATACCGAAATCCTAAAGTTATTTGTAATCTTTTCAACTTATTACTTCCGGTCCTTCACCTCGTGAATGTATTTAGAAAAATTTAATGGATTTACATCTGAAGGACGGGCGGAGTTACAAGATAACCGTGGATTTGATGAAGATTCGGAATTTCGGGAATTAAACCGAACTTTTTCAGTTCAGGTTGGGTCTGCCCCTTACCTCTACAGAAAGTTAAGCTGCCAGAAAAAATGTATGTCAAAAAACACATTCACACATGGAATGCTAATGCTAGCGAAATGCTGTTGTTGTTTTTCAATTTTTTTTAAAAAAAGTTACCGACTGGCTATATGGTCAAAGTAGATTTTCTCTAGCTCTATATCCGATATAAGGAGTTTTCATCTATATTTTAGAAAAATTTGAAACGGAAAACATCAACTGCGAAGTAACTTTTCGTGAACTTGATACCGAAATCTAAAAATTATTTGCAATACTTTCGTTTATTTCTTCCGGTCCTTCAACCCCTAAATGTATTTAAACAAATTGGGTGGATTTACAACTGAATGACGGGCGGACTTACGAGATATTTGCGGATTTGACCACGACTTGGAATTTCAGGTATTAGGACTGTTTATTTCAGTTCGGATTGGCCCTTGCCAGTTCCCCTCTTTTGCAAAAATGGCAGACGAAGATCGTTTTGACAGAAAGTTAAGTTTGGCTGGGAAAAATGAAAATATTTGTTTCGAAAAAACACTTTAATATTTACGTAAAGGGATTCTAATACAACCGAAGTATTGCTTCTGTTTTTAAAATTGTAAAGAAAGTTATCCGCTAATCATATAATCAAGGTGAATTTTATCAAGCTCCATATTTGATACAGGGAGTTTTCGTCCGTAGTTTACATGAAATTAGACCTGAAAATTGAAAACTTTCTCCGAAAAGCAAAACAGTCCAGCGTTTTACTGAAAAGAGAGAGACAAAGAGGGGGTAGACTGTGATTTTAATCAAGCCGCTGTTTTCGAACTAAATGCTATTTTTATCTGTCGTAGTTTTTATAACCCAGATAATTTAAAAGCAATAGGAAGCATAGATGACTAGACGCTGCGCCAGCACAAATGATAACAAGGGAAAGGAATCTAGGGTCGTTTAAAAATAACTTTTGATATATTGACTTTAAATGATTTGAGCTAGCTAGAACCCAAACCAAGCTGTCCTCTGGCGTGGTTCATCAAAGCGATTCGTTCTCCCAAAGTTCATTGTTTTGTGTTTTACTTTTATCTTTTTCTATTCTCTTCAATCGCTTTTGTTTGTTTTAGGGTTTTTTTAATTTTAATTCTGTTAATACTATTATATTTAAACTGGCTTTTTGACAAAATCCAAGTGAAATATTCAACTTACGCAAGAAAGCTGAAGATTTAGTGCGCTTACAGCAGTTTAAGTTTTAAGCTTTTTGATATAAAGTATTTAAGACTTTTTATTTAAGTTTCAAAACATACATACCTGTGAGTTATCAGATCGGTCGAAAAATTTATCTAAGATCTCCAAGCGGATAAACCTTATCATATGTGGTCGTTCCCGTTCGGCGGATTAGAGCTGAAATGTTGAAATTAGTCTCTAGTAAAATCTTTGTTGTCGCCCAAATCTCAAGTACAAGGACAGTTATGACTGGATTTTCTAATTGCTGTTAATTTGATTATATTCATCCAAAGCGCGAGAAAACTAATACTTGAGTCACTCTTATCCAGCCGAAGTGTGCCGAGGTGTGTTAGAAGTGTCGAAGGTTCACGACCGTTTCACTTCGAAGTTCGATGAGATTAATAGGGCAAGTGATTGACCATCGAGAGTTCTGTAATTGTCTTTTCTCAAGTCACGAATGTTCGTTGCCACTAATTAAACATGAAAACCTTTTAGTAAAACTACTACTCGTTGACATTCGCCGACAAATTAGCAAGACTGGTGGTTATAAAGCAGTACAGCTTTGTTCCTGCTCATAGTTGCTATTGTTTTCTAATGACGCCCCAGAGTGCAACATTGATTGGTCACAAATCGCTGAGTTTTGTGTGTTTTATTCCCTTCATAAGGTGCACTTGTGGTTGCCGATTTTATCCAGCGAAAACCTTACCACCAGGGGTCCAAAAATGCCAGAGACAAGCCTGAGGGTTTCGATATTCGATCAAGTTACGAAGACGACCTGATATTTGCTACGATGCAGAGAAGTTTGTTCAGATCTTTTGGTGAGTCTGATGTGAGTCAAATGCTTTGTCCCTCATCAATGAGGAACTATTGATGCTGATCTTACCTTACGAATCCAGGCTTGTCGCCAACAGATCGGCAGCTTTTGAAATAGCTTGGAGTTCTCGCTCCGTCTAAGTAGTTGTTTTATTGTTTTGTATTGTCTTCTTTAACGCTTATAACGCAAAGTCAATTGATGTTGTCATACAGCGCTACGTGGTTTTCGTTGCTTACATAGCATTCCCTCTTTCCTTCTAGTACATTGATGAATCCAAGGTTATGAAAACTGCATATTTCTTTATTTTCTTAATTAGAGTGATCAGCGACTCCGTTCCTCTTGAGAACATTCTCGTGCCTTAGTTAAAGCTTCTCGAAAGAGAGATGAGATCCCACTTGTATCCGCGTGTTTGTCTATGGCCGAAAGTGCCTACTGTCCCACAAGTATATTTTACTTTGGCGATTATTTCGGTTCTTTGTGGAAACCTTCTGGCCTGTGGTCCTGGGCCAACCGGAAGAAATACTCGTTCCAGGACTCCGATGAAGTTTCGACAAAGAATCCCTGATGTGGAGGAGACCTCAATACAAGCCAGTGGAGAATATGTTGGTCGAGTAAAGAGAAGTGAATTGGAGGAAAATTTTAACCCAGATATCGTTTTCAAAAACGACGAAAAAAATGAAGATGATAGAAGAATGACCAAGGTAACCGCTATTGCAATTTTGGATTATTTGAAAATTATAGGACTAAATCCTGAAGTGAAATCAATCAAACGTTATGGTTTCAGTACCCATACATGGATTACTTGCTTCATTTACGGCCATACATGGACAAATTCGCCATATTCAGGATGCTATTCTCATGCAATTCTAACTGTCAAATGCTAAATGCTAACGATAGTTAGCATCAACCGGTCGAAAGTAATCATCTTTATTGCGTCGATCCGAAAGTGTCGATGATGTGTTATTGGTCGCAAATTTTGCACGGGTTAGAAGTCCAAAATTTAAGGGTTACGTCACAAGGTATCTGGAACAATTCTGCTCGCCATCTTATGAAATCCGAGTTAATCGTAATCTATTTGTCCATCAAAGGTTCATCAAGGTTTTATTCGATTTTAAAGGGAAATTGTACTAGAAAAATTATCATTTCTCAAAGCTTTTCAAATAAAATTTTACTAAACTCCCAGACATAAGACTACCGATGATGCGTGGATTGAGTTCACGAATCAAGTTTCCTAACCGAGAGTTCTGAAGTGCTGATGTTAAGCTTTGTTTTGTTAAGTAGTGGTTATTGCTTTGCTATTCATGTGTTTTTTCAAAGAACGGTATTTCCTGTCCTATTAGAGCTTACCTGCTTAGTGGAGCATTTCAGATAATCAAAGCTTTTTCTGGGCAGTGCATGTCGATAGAATTACAGCTTATTTTTAATAAAGAGCATAATAAACAATTGCAAGCGATAATTCGATTATCAACCAAGGACACTGCAATAAGAACATAATTGACTCATCAAAATAATGGTTGGGGACTGCAAGAAAGCGCACGGGCTGGCTTCAGTGCTGTTATCTTAGAATCTAAAGAGCTCCTGGGGAAAATATTTGCGGTGTCCTTGTATAGCGTCGACGACATGCATGTTCATGCTATAAGTCATGCATAGATGTCAATTTAGCTATGATAGCTTATACCCTTAACACGCTTTGCTTGTTGTTTACTGTTACTTAGAATTGCCAAGACAAACTCGCCATTTTAGCATCTGCCGTGAAAACAAAATGGGGAGTAAGACTCCGAGTTATCGATGCTTACGATGTAGATAGCGGCAGAAAAAGGCACCATGGTAAGCACTCTCTACACCATGAAGGACGAGCTGTCGACATAGCTACGGAGGACCTTGATAAGAATAAATACCCACAGTTAGGAAGGATGGCCAATGAGGCTGGATTTGATTGGGTTTATTATGCAACTAGAGGCTACATTCACGCATCTGTTAAAACTGGTAGGTAAAGTATACATACGATACTGGCATAGCTGTATGCTGATCTTAGTTTTTTATGGACGTGGCATTTATTCATTTGAGGCCAAATACCTGTCTTATTCGTTATGGTATACAAGAAGTAAGTTAAGTGCCAAAATACAAATATCAATAAAGTATGGTTAGGCTTTGAAACTTGAAAAGTGTTATTCAAAGGCAAGCGGTTATTTGTTTCAAAGTTATTTGAAAGAGAATTTGAAAAATGAATTACGTCATTCTGATTGACTGATTTAATGCTCTCTTTTTTAAAAGAAGATGCTGAACAAGAAAGGCTGAGTTACAACTGCTTTCCTGAAACAGCTTCTGTTCACCTCGAAGGAGGACGTACAAAGACTATGAAGGAGCTTAGAATTGGAGACAAAGTTGCGGCCATGGATACAAGTGGTCGCATAGTTTATAGCAGAGTGGTGACATTTCTAGACATCAAACCCAACACTTCTGGTGAATATATATCCATCCAGACGAGAAACCCTGCGGCTGAAGTGACAATTACGGAATCGCATTTGATCTATCAGCTAAACAAACATTCGCCGCTGGAGTCGGTGCGTTTTGCACGGGACTTAAGAGTCGGAGACTTTGTTTATATTCGAAACGGTGCTGGTTTGGAGAAATTCACAGCTGGACGCGTGAATGGAGTCAAACGGAGCACAGCGAAGGGGGCATACGCACCACTCACGGAAACTGGAAACATCGTAGTTGATAACGTCCTCTGCTCGTGTTACGCCGTGATTTCCAGTCATGAATTAGCTCATTGGAGTTTCGCCCCATTGAGGTTTGCAGATTGGCTGTTCCCGGGCATCACTGCTCACAGTAGCTCAGGTATGCATTGGTATGCAAGAATCCTTCATAAAATTTACACAAGTTGGTATGACATTACCTCCGGTATCTAGGTAAAACTTCCAAAAGCTAATCCTTTCATTATGGCACCTGTGATCTTGACCAAGGCGAAGTCAGTGGATATCGTGTGTAGAGGCTAGAAACGACTCTACGTGCCGCTTCAGTTCACAGCAATGTGGTTTATTCTATGTCGACTTCAAGTGTAATTACATACTTGGCAGTATCAAAATATCAGAATCAGCAAAGACTGCAAGGTTTCCAAGAGGTGAAACCTCGTAAAACTGCATAATTCTCAGAATTCCCAACGGGACTTCTTGAGAGTGCTGTGATCAATTTCTCGGCATCAGACTTTTGTATTCTAAATTATTTGATTTTTATTGAATATGACTGTTAGATACAATGTTAATTAGGCTAATTATGGCCTGTCATTGGCACCCCGCTAACAGCACTTACCAGTTCGCTTATCAACTATTTACCTTGGCGATCTTAAGCTTAAGCCCGCAGCTCAGCAGAGGAAGCTTGTATGATGTATACAAAGAGCGTTTAGTTTTATGTAATATTCTGCATGTTATGGGTAACTTAGCAAAAATTTACCCAAGCAGTAGAATTAACAAAAATATCAGAGAGGTTTGATTCATTGAGAAAATTTATTATATGCAAAATAACCCTGATGTAAATAGATATTGTATTAAGGTGCTTTGAATTGGAGCCCTGGCCACTGTTCGTAAGAAGCTCTTTCATTACGGTTTACTTTTTTGGACAATCGATCAGGAAAACCTTTTTGTGCTCTCTGTCTGGTAGTTTGCTCGATAGCGTAAAGTTCATCTACTCAACACACGAAATTCCTAAATGAGTAATTCCTCTTAAGGTTAGGAGAAATGATTATATAATTTTATTTTTTTCCTCTGAGGAACGAATTGCAGTTAGTTGGTTTATACAAGTACCTTTTTTATTGTATTTATTACAATTCCACTAAAACAAAACCGTAGAGTTTTAGATGAATTTAAACAATTTAAATAAGAAAAAAAATCAATATTGCAAAAGTTGAATTATATGCTAGAAATGTGATTTGCGTCATGTTAGTTTCGTCTCACCATAATCTGTCTCGATCGTATCTAATGAATTAATGGTTTGACTAAGCTTTACAGAAAATACTTTGTTACGATACCGTTTGATATTGATCTAAGCACTGTTTTGTTATAAACCATTTGCAGATCCCTCAAAATGGACATTCCATCACGGTTGAATTTTTATCGAAGACTCTGATTCATCAAAACAAATTCTTGAATTTGTTAACTATCCCCACCTCTGCAATAATTGTGGCCCACTATATATGTAAACGTAAACTGAGAGTTGTATGCTGATCAAAAACGTAGTCGCACCATATATATGGACTTGGGTTTAGAAGGTGTTGCATTGGTTTAAAACCGGGAAATGGGGTGGTAAACAGATAGATTTCCATTCCATTGTAAAGCACATGACAACCAAACAATATTGCTGGCAATAAACGCGAGAGAGCATGTAACCTGCTTCCAACGGTGGAAAATCTACTTAGTTCTTAGTTCATTCGTGATTGGCTGAAAAAGCATTCCTCTTCGATTTACAGAATAACTAAGAGACTATTATGTACGTTTTTTTAACGCCAGTTTGTAGCCTTTACAATTTGCTTCCAACTTCAAAGAAAAATATTTGTCAGCAAAACTAAGACCGGAGTTTTTTAAAAAAATTCACAACTCAAATGTGAAATCTTAAAAGCATTGTAATTATATAGCTGTACATTAATAAGATTTTGAACGCCCTAAATAAACAACTGGCCTTGAAAGATGGTAATGGATATCTTTGTTTAATTGGTATCCATCGTAAATAATTGTCGGTTATTTGAACCGATTTCGTGTACATCTTTTATCAAGAGAGTCCTCTCTTACTTCTATTTATCCATCAATCGTATGTCAAACAAACTTATATTGGTTTTCTGTTTAGTGATTAACAGCTTGTGCTATCATTTATCGTGTTAAAAACCTGGAGTTTTGGTTAAATTCCTATTTGCTTAGACGTTTTAGACCCTTAATACCTTTATAACTGCCATTGGAACCTAAGTATAGTGCCAATGAGTGTTCAAGAATTAGGAAACTTCAGAAGAGGTTACTCCCACTAATTATTTCTTGCGCCATAGGCTAATTTTTTATGAAGGGTAGGTAATCTTTCCACACATTAGACCAAACAAAACTTACGTAACTGAGACGATGATCTATGTCAGGCAGATTGAACAGTTTTTAAATCCGTTTTAGGTTGTAGTTTGTCACACGAACTGGGCCGGTTTCTTTAGTGTAGAGAAGAGCCGAACAAGATTGATTTTAATCTCTAAGGTGGGGTAGGCTAATCTATCAAAAACGATTATGCGGCAGGGAAACAAATCGTAGTATCATGAAAGTTGCGTAACTGTGAAGTTCGTTGTAACTGTGAAGGTTATGAAATAACTGTCGCTAAAAATTACTGATGCTGTTGGATATTGCCGACAGAATTGCTTGTATCTAAATTTGTTTATTCTTCAGTCCAGGGTGGTCCAGGTTATGTCATTTTAGCCAACAATTTTATCATTTGTGGTCTTAGTCTGTTGGTGGACCAAAAGTTCTTAGAAGTTAAAATGTTGTCAGAAAATTTAACATATATTTGAATCTCATATTCAATAATAAGCCTGAAGAGACGAATATCATTTACGCTCAAAAGCGTGACTCTGTCTTGGAATTAGTCTTATTTTTCCCGAAACGCGAGATGTGAAAGAAGCTCAGGCTTAAACGTGCAAGATTACAGCATATATGATTTAAGCTTTTAAGTTTAAGGTTATTTGTAGCCGATATGTTTTCCTAGCCATCTGTAAAGATGAACGACGCCCCAGTCTTAAAGAAATAGATTAATTTATACTGATACACTGAACATTATGGAAAAGAAAAATTGGGAAACATGTTTAGTTTGGACTATATTATGACACAACTGGAGGAAAGTACGGTGAAGTAGATACCTCTAGGTGTTTAAATCTCATTTCTCTTACATATAAAAGACAAAACGTATGCCCGCCAAAGCCAATCTGAACCGCACTGCTTCTGGCAAATTAGTGGGTATTTACTGAAAAGAAAAGTACCAACAACAAAAACAACTCTGGAATGTAGTCATTTCAAAGCTTTTTTAAGATCGACACCTCTACAATAATCTAACACAGCTTCATTGTTTCCGAATTTTTTGGGACTGGCGTCATTTCATTGAAAGAATTTTCGAGAGAACAATTCCCTCCTTCTCACATCACCTTATCAAACATGCCAGATGGCTTTACTTTTCACAGCACAAAATGTCACTTTTATCTACCCGATGACATTAAACACTGACGTCGTATATCATAAGAGATGACAGTATTTTAGAAATATCCAGATTTTCGTCTCATTATAATCTGAATATTTAGGGTTATTATTAAAATTCTTAAAAAAGATTTCATGAAGCGATCTGTTGGCTCTCATTAGATTGAAATTCGGAAATCTTGTTAACATCCGCGCTTACTCAGTACTTTCCAAGATTTGTAATAAAAACCGAAGTATTTCGCTGTTAAATTTTGTAGGAGAATTAAAGCTATCATTGATTTCTCAAAGTTCCCTGATTCAACCGCGTTTTGGCGAGACTTGGGTAAGTCGTAAATTTCAGAACAAACTTCACTGTTGATTTGAAAATACTACCAGGTAGCCAAGCAGTTTGCCGCAGGCTTATTGCGAGATATTATATATACTTTAAGCAATTCGATGCATTAAAGGGAAAACCGCAAAATTAGCTCTTACTTCTGTTACTTTTCTGCTAATCTTTAAATAAATCTAACAGAAAAATAGGACGTGTCTAATCACAAAGAGAGGTAACTGTCGAGAAAAAGGCCAGGGCCTCCTCACGCTGCCTGCCGTTTGCGTAAGCATGCAAGGCCCGTGCACTCCAAACTTAACTCTTGAGAAAGACAACTTACAATTGGTACTGGCCTTTTTCACTCCTGTGAGCGCCATAGTTGTACAGCTACTCTGGCTGCGCGTAGAGTAATGCCTTTCCTCGTTAATTTTCGCCTTGGTTTCGCCGTAAGTGGCCTAGTCCCGCGAAGCTTACTCATAACGCGGCTGCCACCTCTTTTCCCGCCATTGGTTGTTAGCGCGGGAAATGAGAACGAGGCCGACTTAACTGGAAAGGACTAAGAAACTGAACTGCCACTCGCACGCTGGAGTGGAAAAACTCTCAGTGAACGTCTGAATGGGTATAAAACGCTAGTTCATCACCTCGTTTTCCTACTCTGTAATGAAAAGAGAAACCAAACGAATAAGTTATCAGCTCTTCACAGTGTTTTCGCATTCAGGATGTTACTAATTCTCTGATTGCGTTTGAAATGACAATACTGGGTTTCTGAAACATCTTCGGTTGTTTTCGACAGTCGTCTAAACATTCTAAAGCATAGTGTCTTTAACAAGTACAATTTTCTTTAATGTTCCACACAACAATTCAATTCAAGCTACAAATTTTAAATTTATTAGCACAAACGGACTCTCTATTTCTCTCTCTAATCTTTATAAATCAATGGATATTTCAAGACTGGGCATTCATGGAAAATGCATATGGTTTATATGAACCAGTCTCAAAATGTTTAGGGCTGAAGAAAAACCATTTCACAAAGTTATATTTTACGGGAGCTGGATAGTTCCATGACTTTCTTAAACCTCCTGAACCGTTTTCTAAAACATGAAAAAGCCAAGCGAGTTCTACACTGTCTGAGCACCTCCTACCCTGATACAAATTCTATTTCATGTTCTTCATATATTTCTTAACAGCTCATGCATACATTGAAAGAATTTGTTAACCCTTTAAATCCCAGAAGTGATTGACATGAAACTTCTCCCTATAATATCAATACATTATTCAGCTGACAGGTAATGAGAATATTCAAACTTATCAGGTAGAAGCTGTACTTATCTCGATCTAGCTCCAAGTTCTCATAACTAATTTACAAGGATGTGTCTAGCAGCTAGAAAGACGAATTGACAATCAGATTTTGGGAGTTAAAGGGTCAACAGCAAATATCTATGATGTCAAAACTCAGGTTCATCTTGTTTTGAGCATTCTAAAAAGTGTACTATTCAGCCATAGTGTCACTGAGACAGACAAAACTAGCACATACTGAAAGGTACAGGCTGATCTTGATCTCCTATCTATCTATCACGCATTTCTAAAGGCCCCAAAGCATCAGCCTTAACCATAGACATTGCTTCTGGGAGGGAGGGGGGAAAATCTAAGAAAATCCCACGTGTTCCTCCAGTTGATCCTCACAAGATGGATCATATAAAACCCATTTATTTGCACAAAAGTCTCACAGATTAGCAAAAAAATTAATGAAAATGATCAGAGAACAATTCAGGAGTGAGAGGAAATCGCAAACGTACTGTTCCATTCCCATGCGTTCCTTCTCTAAACAATGGCAAAACAGAAACTGGAAGGTCAATGAAGGAAGGCTGGTCTTTTTAACTTTCATTCCTTCCAGATATACACTGATTGCAAAGAACAGTGCTAAAAGTGTATACCCATGGCAATCTACAGGGTGAAAGTTGTTACAAAAATGAGTTTTGACTAAGAGGTTGCCAGCAAAGCTTAAGGGTAAAAAATCACATGAATCATATAAACAAGGAATGACGATTTTAAGAACTCCATCAGTTGTAAACCTTTCCACTCACAGAAGCAATCAGTATACAAATTCTCCTTACAGTGTCACAATACTGTTAAGTAACTGACTGATGGGAGTTAAACAAGACTATCAGTTAGACGATGATGACTTGCTCTGGCGCCAACTTCTCAAACCAACATGAAAGAAAGTATATGGCAGCCAGTAAGGAGAATGTGTGAATGTTTAGGGTGAAAAGGTCTACCAAGCTTGGCTTTCACTAGCAAGCTATGAAGGGTATTTTTACAATGAATACAAACTACAATGAGATATCATAGGTTGATATTTTGATTGGGTTTCATCAGGTCCAAATATTTCATAATTCTCTTTACTTCACAGCAAGCTTCCAAATACTCTATTCTCTTTGAGCAGCTTCCAGATCTTCCCGCACACTTGAAAGGTCAAGATCTTCCCCTGTGCAGCGTTTGAAGATATCCACAATCTCCTTGCAAGTTGTTTGAAAGTGTGTTGTGGCATCATAGGTGGTTGTGATAAAAACCTTAAAGTAACCAGGACAAAATTCATTTAACAGAAGGTCAATCATTTCAGGGAAACCTCTATAACAAGAACAAGCTGAGAGACATAGACACATAATTAGTTAACAATCATGCTGAATCCAAGCAAGTTATATATTCATCTTGAATTTCTACCACGTTGTTTTCTGTTAACATGCTTACTAGCTAAAAAAGACCTTAACCATGTTTTTCTTCAGCAAATTCTCACATGAATTGGGGAAAAACACTCTTGCCAGTTAACATTCCCTTACCCCCTTCAACTCCCATGAGTGATCAAAAAAAGATTCTTTCTTACAATATCAGTACAATGTCAACCAGATAAGTAATGAGAATAAAGAAAAATATCAATTAGGAGATAATTAGTTGATCCAATACTAATTTCTCGGAACTAAAATTAAAAGAATTGTATGGTTGATAGTAAGGAGAATTACAAATTTGATCTGAGAGTTGAAGCGTTAAAGTGTATGCTGAGTAAGAAACAAATGAAATGATACTAATCATTTGTGGGGAACATGGCCCAGTCTTAACAGAAAACCTTATTCAGAGAAATAACTTAATATAAGAAGGGGTTAGGTTGGAAAATAATTTGGTTTTATCAACTGAGTTAACCTATTAACTCCCATGAGTGATCAAGACAGAATTTCTCCTTACAATATCCATACAATATCAACCAGATAAGTGATGAGAATAAAGAAAATATCAATTAGAGGATAATTAGTTGATCCAATACTAAATTCTCTGAACCAACATTAAAAGAATTGTATGGTTGATAGTAAGGAGAATTACACATTTGATCTAGGAGTTAAAGGGTTAATAATGTAAAGTGGCTCCTGTAAAGAGTTTCAAAGCTGACGTTTTGAGTGTTTGCCCTTCATCAGAGCGTTACATTGAGCTGGGTCCACCTTGCGCAATGTTATCAGGAAAGCAAGGTTGCTATCAAGAAAGATACATTCAGAAAGGTTTACATACCCCAGATTTACTGCCATCATCAGTGGGAACTAAAATATCACTGACTTTCACAAATCTGTAGGATAAGAGAAGACATGCTGGTTGTTATCAAAATCATGGCACAAAGAACACACCAGAGTTGTAGAGTCTTTCCAAACATGTAAGTATATTTAACTACAAATAAAATTTTAAACTTTTTTAAGTCACTGGAAATATTTTATACTGAAATTGATCAAAATCTACTGTGTTTGGAATTAACAGCAGAGAAGACTTGATTACTCTACAATATACAGAAATCCTTTCACACTGACATTAGCACATGCAAATAATGTGTACATGGCTGTAAAATTCTCAGTTGAATTGTATATCAAAGTAAGAAACCAGTGGTACTCAAAAGTACATTTCTTAATAGGAGAGACAGACTGTAATAATTAATTTGATACAAGTTTTGTCCTCTTTATGCTTCTTAGGGATTATGCAAGCATGGCTTAAAAAAAGAGGTTTTTCCATACCAGACAGCTTTTCTAGCTGAGCAATTTACATACTGCACTTTCAGGTAAGTGGCCACATATCAATCTAAAGTTGTAGTCCCATAAGGTAAGCTGGATTTCAATCATTTTTTTTTTTAATTTTAGTCCCAGTGTAGATAAACTTAACATTACACAGCAGTCAAATTTCTATGCATGTGCAAACTTTGTAGATGCTACAGGCCTGTTTCAGGGTGTCTTTTAATAAAACAAACTGCCCTATAATCAACCTCATGAGCAAGTAAGTGGTGGTGTCTGAAAACCATACAGCATTTTTAGTAAAGCTTAAAATAAAATGATAAATCCACAGGAAACTAGCAATTAAATTAAATTTGCACATGAAGGACTCCAGTTTTCCTTTTCCCTACTTTTGCTTCCTTTTAAATATTAACATGAACATATAAATGTCTTTTTCCTTTTTTGTTTTTGTTTTTTTGTTTTGCATATTTGGCATCACAGCAGTTGTTCCTTAAGTATTCTTTTGAATTTTTGCACAAAAATTGGTGCTTGGCTGGCCAAAATTGATGACCAACATTTGACCACTGTGCTACTCAACCTACTTCTCTATAACATGTCCCAGCAGATCAAGAGCAGGTTTCAGCTCTGCCTCTGGATCGGCTGTTTCCACTGTTGTGCTGACAATAGCTATGTAGTAATTTTTGGCTGCCACGTTGTGTGCATACGATACAACACAAATATAGATATCTAAAGGAAGAAAAAAATTAACAATGAAAAAATAGTAATAGATAATAATAAGTAATGGTAATAGGACTGAGTGGAGTCCAATTTGGTCTGTAATCATACAAGCAATTTAGAAAACTGCACAACTGGGAAGGGGAAGTCCAATTTGTTAATCATGAGTATAAATTACAGACAGTTTGACAAGAAGAAGTCCTGTTGTGACAAGAACATGTACACAATATGTACCATCCAATTACACAGGCATGATGTTTACACTGTCCCATTACACTGTCCAATTACAATCATGACACCTACAATGTCCTATATGCGCTCAACTTGGGCTGATGATAACCAATCACTTTCTTGAATTTTGTTTTAGTTTTGATTCATTTATAATCATAATTTATTTTGTCCTGGCTGGTTTTGCATCATGTTTGTCTAATGAAACATAAGTCACACACCAAAAATCCAGGCAGTCTCTAAGCTCAATTCCTGCTGCTGTTTGGGAAATGAGCCTGCACTCACCCCTACAAGTCCTTTTCAGGAAGATTGAAGACCAAACTTGAGAAAACTGTGGAATGTAAGCCTTTTAACCCTTGAAAAAATTATCACAAATTCAAGGGGAACCTTCTCATTAGTTATTAGCCTTTCAATTTATGGCAGTCTTGAAATTTTGGTTTTTAAACCAAACCTTGTCATACATGATTGCATTTCTCCATACCTGATTTCCTGCTCACTTGATTTTGAGGAATGATGATTTGGCAAGAGGCAGAATCTTTGATCTTAGGAACAGGATGATCCATGAAGCATATGCAACGAACAACCTGTGTACAATGTCATATGAAAGAAAAAACAAAGCTACATGTTTTGCTAGATTTCAAAGGTTGCTGATCAAACTTTTGGTCTGTTTGGGAGTTAACCCTTTAACTCCCAAGATTTGATTGTTAAACCCATAACTGCCAACCCTGGTCTGGTGCCAGTGCTATTTGACTTATTATTTTTCAGAATTTAAATTGTTTGGAGTTTAAGAGGCCAGGTTTCCTTACATCTTGAGTGCCAGAGGTTTGACAACTTCTACCTGATAAGTTTGAGAATTCTTTACCTGTTTGCTGTACACTATATAGATAGTTTAGGGAGAAGTGAAATGTTAATCACATCTGGGAGCTAAGGGTTAACAACTATTTGGCTTTTGAAGAGATTGTTGCTTTCCTCTGTTGCTATGGCTATACTTGATAGGTAACCACTACAAAGCATTTAGACTGGAGTTGCAACAAAAAGGTTCTCAAAGAGTTCACAACTGACTCACCTGGCCGTCCTTTTTCACTTTGTCAGGGAAATAAGAGGGGTCACCGATCACCATCTTTGTCTTGGCAGTTTCTCCCTGTGAAGTGACACCACAAACTCTACCATTCTCATCGTACTTGATGTCCTCTATAGGCTTATCCAGCATGTATGTTCCACCGTATATTGCACTCAGGCGGGCAAAACCCTGTGGAAGTTCTCCCAAGCCATATAAGGGATAGAGATATGGTGACTTTCCATACTGTGCTAATGAGTAACTGAAATTTGAAAGAGAAGGGAAAAATTGATCTTAATGTAAAGGAAAGATGCTCTACCAATTTTTTCTATTTTTTATTTTTATATTTTAGTGAGGTAAGTACAAGGAAAGTTCAACACCTAAATTAATTCACAACAGCTACACAGCCTGTATTTCAAAGTGGAACAGCTCAGCCATTCTCCTTGCATGGCTTGCAAGAAAATTTTGACTTTGTGATGGCTGGCCAACTATCATTTCCTCTGTAAGGCAGACTTGAAGTTTGAAAATTATATCTCAGTGAACATAACCATTAAGAAACAAATGCACGTATACTAACCTGTACAACTTGATCTTCATTAAAGTCTCCTTGCAAGGTTCTTCCAAATAACTGGAAGGAAAAACTAGGTTAGTGACATTTGTTGCCATAATAATCCCTTGAAAATCAGGGGAACTGAACGCATGACAAAAGATAATTTCATTGAAAATTCTCATTCTGATACCAGACAGAGCTTGCAGAAGGAGTTAACTATTGATCCATTACAGATTTCTCCAAACTAACATCATAGGGATTGTATGGAAAACAATTAGGAGAATTACTGATGAGATCTTGGGAGTGAAGGGTTAAGGGATTAACATTATACATGTGATTGAATAGAAGGCTGCAGTTCAAGCAAGTAATAATAGTACAGATAGCAGGGCTTTTCCAAGTAAAATACTCATGTTACCATCACATATTCAACACGTACTTATCATTGAGATGAAGAGCGAGAGCATGTCCTGTGAAGCTCTGAGTGTTTGCATCCACACCAAATTTTGCAAACACATCCTTCATTTTGGTCTTTTCTGGATCAAACTCTACGGAAGAGAGACAGTCAATTTACCTAGGGAACAGACATTCTTAAGGTATTCAACTGACAAAACAAACAAAAGACCTAGAACAAAATTCTACTTTTTTGACAAAGGCATTTAAGGAAAGGGTAAATTTTAAAGGTATAAGTATCACTAAGCATCCTTACAAGTTGTGCCGTATTATATACACACAAAGAGTAAAACTAATCGGCAATACTACACACTTAAATGACTAATAAGTTATTTATTATCCAACTGCTTTACCTTACATGTACATGTATGAGCATTTCTTGTAAGGTGGGAAAAGCAACACAGGTAGAGAGCTTATCTCAGTTTCCAAGTAGCATGAAGTACACTCCCCCCACCCCCAGCATTTCATCAGGCTTCCCTGACTATTTTTTGCGACCCATTTAAACTCATGGGTGGAGAGAAGCATTGTGTGAGTGAAGTGTTCTGCCCAAGAACACGACATTTTGGCTTGGCCAGGTCTCAACCTTAGACCTCATACTCAGACTCCAGTGCAGTTGACCACTAAGCCACTGCATCTCTTCTACAGTACCATGAGTATGGTTGACAAAAGTATGTTCACCATACTTTGGAAAGGTGTGGTAACCTCTCAACCTCCTGCCTATGTATTTTTAATTTCATTTATTTATTTATTTTTTTCGTCGTTGTTGTTGTTGTTGGCACTCTCTCGATTAACTTCTCCTTGCACTCACATATAAATAACACAGGACGTATTGTAAATTTAACCCTTTAACTCCCAAGAGTGATTAAAATGTAACTTCTCTCTGTAATATCCATACATTATCCAGCAAAGAGATAATGAGAATTCTCAAACTTATCAGGTACAGGTTGTTGTCTTGATCTAACACCAAATTCTCATAACTAAGCTACAGGGAAATGTTTAGCAGCTAGATAGGAGGATTAACAATCACATCTTGGGAGTTAAAGGGTTAAAAGTGTAAGTGAAGTAAATTTTTTTTTTCAAATGCTAACTGTACATTGTTAATAAATTATCATGCTCTTAGCAAAGTCATTCTGCTTCGCGTCGTGGTTTCCTAAGCTTATCTCGTGTTCTCCCAACCTCCTGCGTGTTTACATCAGGCTATGTAAACATGGAAACCATTTTACATTTCTTCAATGTAGGGCTTGGTGGAGCAGGTAACAATTAAATAAAATTAAAAAAGGAAAAACATTTACCATACCTTGCCATGTTTTGCTATCATCTGGTTCAAAGTTGTTGGCAAACACAAGAAATTTGTGAAATCTTCTTTTCTCAAACATTCCCATGAGACTGGTTGCAAGGGCCTCTTTTTCATCTGCTGGTACTTTGAAAAGCTTTTTATCCTTATACACATAGCTTCCTTCTACTTGTTTGAATTCAAGGTAGCGGGTAACTCCACTTTCAATCAGATATTTAACCAGGTCACCTAAGAACAGAATTCAACCTAACACGTTAGTGAACAGGTCATTAGCAAAAAGACTTGTGGGTGAGAAGACTGCTATACCTACCAATGTGACTTGTTAACACTAAATGTTGCAGTACTTCATTGTGACCGTTTTGAAAGGCCTTATGAAAGGAAAAGCATATTGACAAAAAAACTTGAAGCCACTTCACTAGACTGGTGGGCTGTGTTTGACAAACACAAGCTAAGACTTCATGAGTAAACCATTGTATGGGCTTACAATGTAATTTCTTACTGCACACGTGTAACAAACCCACTGGAAGCTTGTATAATTTCCATGAAATACAAGCACTTATGACTATGTTGCAGTACACCCAAGTGGTACAGTACCAAGTGTTTGTCAGTCCAAAATATTGACCATGCCCTGCTTCTTAAAAATTTACCTCCTTTGCCTTGATTGTTAGAGCATGGAGCCTTGAGATGTCCTGTTCACATCTAAGTATTGCTCAATTCAAAGACATGAGGTGTGGTCAACAGTTTATTTCTCTCCTATTTTTCTCATTTTTTCTAAATTCGTTCATTTACTCATCTACATATTTTTTTTCATCAATTTCACTATTTATTTTTTCATGACACACAACCAAAAATGTTACAATTGACAACCATTGTATAATTTACTTGGCAACCATTGTATAATTTACTTGGATCAATGTCAGTATCTGGGCAACTGTGAACCTTTCCCTCCCCTAACCCAACAGTAACCCTTAACTTGTTATCAGTTGACTGTTTTTGGGTAAGGGAAGGGGTAGGTGGGTTGTTGCTCAGACAATGACATTAATCCATTTACAGTGTACTTGTCCAAAGGCCAGAATGGGACATACCATATTTAGTTGATTAATGCCTTCCTCAAATAAATGCTGCCTTTGAATAAACGCAACATCATCATGTGGTGTTTATTCCCATAATAGACTCAAAAAGCACACAACAATCATTGCCTTGATTGCAGTTAAAAATTTTGAGTGAACCAGACACAAATCCTTTTGAATGTACCAGTTCTGATGTTGAGAAAACATATCCAACACAAGATCTTTCTATTCAGTATGAATTGCAGTAGTATTAACATGCAAATTCTGAAATTTAGAACAATATAAAAAAATTACTTTTAAGACAAACACTAAAACATGTTTCTGGTTTTTAAAATGAAAGTGGTCAGTTACCATACTATTGTTTGCAAGGAATAAATTGGATTTCAAATAAACACCACCCTTGTATAAATGCCACCCTAAAATAAATGCTGCACTTGAATCCCAAAAAATTTAATGAACACTGTGGCATTTAATCAAATAAATATGGTAAGGAAAATTCTTGCTTTGAGCACTGCATGAAAAGTACTCATTTAGTCCATCTTATCATCTTCACATAGGCTACACATGTACATACCTTGCGCCATCAAGAACTTGGGAATGAGGTCAATATTCCAATCTTTTGATGATCCTAGTTGTTTAGGTGTCTTTCCAAACAGTTCATAGAACTAAAAAGAACAAGAGACTGTTATTTAACCCTTTCACCCCTAGGAGTGACTAGCATTAAATTTTTCTTTACTTGTAATATTACCCCTGAATCATGCAGTAAGGTTATGAGAAAAAAGGAAATGATCAGCAGCTAAAGAAGCTGTTGATCGTTGCAGAAATTCTCTTTGTCAGCACCTTAAGAAATGTGTAGAGAACAGTATGGAGAATATCTATACTGATGTTAGGGTGTAAAGAGTTAATACAGTTGAACAGTCATAAATGGATACAGGGGTCCCTTTTAACCCTTTCACTCCCAAGATCTAATTAGTAATTCTCCTTACTATCTGCCATACAATTCTTATGATGTTAGTTCAGAGAATTTGGCATTGGATCAACTAATAATCCTCTTATTAATATTCTTCTCTATTCTCATCACCTGCCTGCTTGTTATTGTATTGATATTGTAAGGAGAAATTCTGTCTTGGTCACTTGTGGGAGTGAAAGGGTTAAGAGACATCCAAGTGTAATTTGTCTTTGTATCCTAAATTTACCTCAAACCTGTATTGTAAATTACCATTCTAACAACAAAGGAAACTTGAACCAAGGGAAGACACTAAACACAATGAATATAGGTAGAATTAAGTTTAAGGGTTAAAAGCATTATACCTTTTCCAGTGGTGTGATTGAAGCACTTTCCCCACCATAATATTGATTTCTGTCCATGTGAAGAATCTTTTTTTTATTCACTGACAAAAATCCACTTAATATGCACTCCTATTAAATACAAATTGAATTTCATTAGTACACAATGTTATCAAAGGGGTTTGTAAAATTTAAAGTATTCAAAATTTAACACTATTCCAAGAAATAATAATAATAAAAACAACACTAATAATAATGATGATGATGATGTTGTTGGCAATTTGAATTACAGAAAATACAATCAAGAATATTGCAATTGGTAACTTCAATTTGTTAACCTTACACTCCCAAGATCTTCTCAGTAATTCTCCCTACTACCTGTCACACAATTCTTATGGTGTTTCATCAGAGAACTTGGTATTGGATCAATTAAAAATCCACTAGTTGATATTTTTAGTAATTCTCATCACTTGTCTTCTTGATATAATATTGATAATGTCTGCTTAAATTCTCGTAAGGTCACTCATCATGGAAGTTCAAGGGTTGATAGTGAGTGTCTGAAATGATCAGTGATCAGACCAACCATAATAACACTCAATACTGGGAGGAGGCAGCAAGTGGGGGTGCTCTGGAGAACGTCTTTCTTAGAAAAAAAATGGTCACTAAAGTATCATCAAGATGTTTAAAAGGAAATTGCTTAAGATAAGATAATCTCACTTTTTTAAGGAAGGGTTAAAGACATCACCAGAGATAACTGATTTGAGTGTAACAAATTACCATCTTGAATTAAACTACTGAATCACTTCAGTCCTCTGCAAATTGGGTTATCACAGTTCTTTCATGACCTCCACAAAGTTTCAGAGGTGATCAAAGGTTAACAAGTCCAAAATTATTGTTTAATGGTTCAGTTTTTAAGAGACATAGATGTACTGCAGATAATGTTTACATAACAATGGCTGAAAAGAAAAGAGGAAATGCAAAAGCAGCTGTGCTATAGCGTAAGTGTTGACGCTATACTGATTTTCGAAAATGATAATATACACAAAAAATTTGAAAACGTGGTAATAAGGTTATTATGTAAATAAAACTGCAAAAAATTATTGCAAAACTGAGATCAAGGTAAAAAATCATCCACACTTTTGCTTCATCGTTTCAAAGGTGTAGGGCTTGAATTTCATGTCCAATCGAGGATTTGTTGAATTCAATGTATCCCCAACGACGTTTAGGATATACAATACTGGAAGGAAAGTCCTAATTTGCCTTAGTACCGACAATTTTAAGGTAACTTCTCCTAATAAATCCTTACCGGCCCAATCTCATTCTTACAGCGAATATCACAGAGATTGCTGGGAAAGGAAATGGGTGTGAAACTGGATCCATGGCTTAAAGGGCCACATCAAGAGGTAAATTTCCTCACTTTCGAGATGTTTAAGCACTAACCTTGAGTCCTGTACCGAGAACGATACAGTCATATTCTTCATCCATGCTTGAAAATCCCTAATCTGAAGAAAGACTGAGGTTGGAGAGGTAACCGAGCGCGAAAACTTCACGAGGTACGGGAAGGTGCAGCACGGAAGATCACGAGCCAGCTTACTGCGCCTGCTCAAAAGATCATTCCGCAACAGTCCCCTCGTTTTAAGGTTGGCGCAAATTTTGTAAGAGCTGAAGTAAGTATCGTAATTCGGATCCTAGGCATTAGGTAGGTTTCTTTATGACAGTCTCATCGCCAATTCTACGCGTGTTTTAGTTTAAAAACTAGGCATTTTTATTTCCAGACTTAACCTAAATATTTCTAGTTTTTCGGATGTGTTTTGAAAGTATGAGATTATATCGATGAGGATCAAGTAGTGAAAAGGCTCGTTTTTTGAGATGTGCCATAATGCTACCTAATAATGGTCCTAACTGTTGCAGAGTGTTGCAACGTGGTTTCTTACATGTGATAGCGATTTGTGTTTTGATGTAGAATATCACCGAAATGTGAAGTGTTGATGCCGAAACCGTTCAAATCTTTAACCTTTAAGGATTTCAATAAAATCGCGACAAATTTCTCCTTCCGCCAAACTAATCAGTGAGCGAATTAACGATGTGAACTACTTCCCATGAGGAATACTGCGGATTTCTACTGCCGTGAGTTTTGTATGCGTTATGGCTGAAAATTTGCTACAGGGTCTGCAATCGGCCGCAAATTCCACATCACAAGCTGAGGTAAGTATTTTGACTCTCCATGCTAAATCTTTGGTGGCAATTTTCCAAAAAGCCGTCAAAATTACATTTTTTTAACACAAAGATATCATTCGGTGCAATAAATGTCCGCATACTCTACGAGCTTCGTTTATTCTAGAGAAATTATTTCAATCTAGTTTGTTCAAAACCTTGCTCCCTATTTTTCTTTAGGCCCTGCGATATTTTGAACAGCTGAAAAATTCTGAAGATGGATGGAAACTTTGCGGTGATGCTTTGGTTCGAAATCTTTATAGGTATGCGGTCTTTAAATTACAATTTGTAATGAACTTGCCAGTCGTTTCTAATCTCCATGTTAAACAGTTCACTTGTTGAAATATCAACACTTTCGGTTCATTTACCCAAAACAAAGAAAGAAATTTTTGGCGGCTAAAATTAATCGTATTGTAATACCTCATTTCAGAAAATAATATTGTGAAAAAAAAAATGAGTCTTTCATTGAAGATGGAGTTCGTACTTGTACATTGGTGCTAGGGGAAGGGGCGGGGAAGGTCAGTTGGGGCTTTGCAATTTCTGGATTACCCCTTTAACCCCTAAGAGTGATTTAAATGTAATTTCTCCTAACAACATTACCTGTGAATCAAACATAAAGGGCATGAGAATAAAGGAGATTTTCACCAACTAAAGAAGCTCTTGATTTTTTAACAAATTCTCCTTATCAGAACCTTAGGAAATGTCTAGGGAGTAGAATGGAGAATATGCATATTGATGCTAGGGAGTAACAGATTAATCAAAGCTATAACAAAATTTAAAATGTGATCGGTTATCACCAGCCTGATTTGAGGGTTGATTGGACACTGTGCATGTAATGCTTGTGATTGGACAGTGTGCGCATCATGCCTGTGTAATTTATAATGGTAAGAGGACCCAGTGGAGTTCAATTTGGTCTGTAATCATATGAGTGATTAATAGAATTGGACAACAAGAAGTCCTGTTCCCAATTAATCATAACTATTTCAATTTCTGAAAAAACAAATACACCTAAAACAAATATCTCCAGTGGAGACAATGTCTTTTGTTATAAATTCCTCCATTATGGAAATTCCCCAGTTTTTCTTTGGGTAAGTGGTTGTTGCTATGGTTATTTTGATCATTTCTGTGATTGGTTGATTAGCCAAGTAGACTAAGTATGATTGGTTACTTGAACTGTTTGATCACAGGTGTGTGATTACAGCCAACTGTCCAATCACAACTATTCAGTATGATTAATGAAAAATGAAGCTGCAAATGCACCAATAATGTTTGAGGAATTTGTAAAGGTTGTGACTAGACTAGATACATATTATGCATGTACTTTTGTCATGCAATTTACTGAGTTAATTGTTTTTTTTTCCTTTTCTCATGAAAAAATAGAAGCAATGGCTAGGTTTTTTTCTTGAATTTTATCATACATGTAGTTTTGGTTAACCCTTTAATTCCCAAGATCTGATTGTCAATTCACCCCTCTGGCTGCTATACATTTCCTTGTAAATTAGTTAAAAGAATTTGGTGTTAAATCAAGATAACAACTTCTACCTGATAAGTTTAAGTATTCTCATTACCTGTTTGTGGGATAATGTAGGGATATCATTGGGAGAAGTTACATGTTAATCACTTCTGGGAGTTAAAGGAGTGAATTACCAGGAGACAAAGTGGCCTTATGGTCAGTGCACTGGACTCTGGGTCAAGAGGTCTGGGTCAAAACCTGGGGGGTCAATGTGTTGTGTTCTCTCACAATACCCCTCTCCATCCAGGAGTATAAAAAGGTATCGGAAAATTGTCAGGGAAGCCTGATGAAATGCTGGGAAGGTAACCTTGGGATGGACTAGCATCCCATCCAGGGGGAAGTAGTAATACTCCGGCTTCATGCTATGTGGAAACCGGAATAAGCTCTGACTGGGTGGACCAATAGGCTTGAGTACAAACTTTACCTTTATTGATTTACTGGTATTGCCTTGTTATATTCTCTCAATAATGCAGCACCACAGTTTCTTTAGAAACTTGCCCCCTTGTATGACCAGTATAAATGCCATGCGTTTTGTTATCAGTTATCTACCCGATAGCGATTTATCTGTTGGATAGTGTTATCCGACCTCTATAGGCTGGACCCTGATATTTGTTTGCCTCTTACTTGTGATCATGAGTGCTGAAATGATGTTGAAGATGAAAATTTTTTTTTCAGCGATGAAACTGTGAAGTTCTTCTGCTTCCAAGTTTTGGAGCATTATATTAAAACAAGGTATGAGTTAGCACTGGTGATCTGGTTTGATCCAATACCAAATTCTCAGAACAAAATTTATAATGAGTGTGTGGTAGACACTAAAGAGAATTTTCATTAAGATATTATGAGTGAAAGGGTTGAATGAATGGCAACATGCAGCTCTCATAATCTGGGGAAATTTGCTCCTAGTCCATCAGTTTTTAACTTCAAATTATTGACTGATGTAATGCTGAAGTTAAAAAAAAACTTTTTGCTTACAATCCTGTCACCTTCTCTTCAAAGACATGCAACAGCCTCACCACTAAATCAGTGTACAGCAAGAAATATTCTTTTAACATGGCTTAAAAATCAGGTATTTGTTTTTTCCTGCAATATCTAAGTAATCACAGTAAGGATTTGATTTAGTGCCTGGGGCACTTTTTACTCATTTTAACTCTGGGATCAAGAAAGCTGACTTGAAGCACTTATCTGGGACAGGGTGTTTATTTCTTGTTTGAGAAACAGCAGACATGCTAAACAAAGCTTTGATATTTATCTAAGAGGGATCAATAGCAAAAACTGTAAAAGGAACTAACATACCCTGAATATTTGCATAATAATAGTAGGGAATGTACTCTAGCAGTGCCGTCACTGAAACAGAATAAAGATACCTATCAGAATGTGGGAGCTTCAGCAACAGGGGGGGGCTTATTAGAATAGGGGTGCTTATCCAAAGGAGGGGCTTCTTAGAGAGGGGGCACTTATTGGAACCAGGGTGTTAAGTCAAATCTTTAAAGTAATCAGTAATGCAGCTTTATAAAGGGAGATAGGGTGGCCAAGAGGCTTTTACAGTGAACTTCAAATTGTGTTGTGTTCATGGTAATTGTGATAGGACTTACAATGTAGTAGTTCGATCACAGACAGAATTAGACACCAAAAATTCTCTTATCATGTATATGTACATCCTAACATTAGTATTGATATTCTCTATGCTTGTTTCTATAGATTTCCTTTGTTATTGACAAGGAGAATTTGTCTATGACAATCAAAGCTTGTTAGCTTTGTGATCATTTCTTCCATTCTCTTGATCTTGAATGATGTAGCAGTTTTACTGTAAGGAGACATAAGAAGCTGGTCACTCTTAGGGTTTAAAGGGTTAAGAACTGAGCTTATACTTGTGTTTTTACATATCAGTGTTGTAGTAAAACAGATGATCAAAACTTTTTGAAGAACAAGGCTGCTCAGGTGTTCAGTTTAATCTTTGTCTGTGACTATCCTGAAGGGGTAAGTAATTGAATAATAATTATATGTACTTACTGACTGAGTGGGAAAGCCAGAAAGGAGAATATCTGGCTCAATATCAGGACGTATTGACTGCATGCAGCAAGGTACATGTGTCATGAACAAGAGCCAAGTATTTTCCCATCCGGCCCCGACCCAACTCGGTCAATAAGCATTGTATCATATGACCACTAGCCTATCAGCTTTTGCTATTGTTTCCTATGGGATTGCATGCATGGGGCTGTATGGGTCATATGATAATTGACATTTACCAATGTCTGGTATTGTTAATTTGGATTTCTGAAATGCAACTTTGTGTCAAGCAAGACTAAAGTGTGATTCTTGCACACCAGCTTTGCCAGGATGGCAGTTATGTTGACAAAACTCTATATACATAGGGCTCTCAAGTTGATTTGCTGCCAAAGAGATTTTCAACTGCATAGCCTTCAAGTGTGTGGCCGAGGGTGCTACCTTTTCCTGGGTGGAGGGGGAGATGGGAGCATACTCATCCAAAAAATTGTTAAAAAAAAAAAAAAACTTAGCTAAGACATGTATTCCTTTATTCTGAGTGTTATTCTTTATTCATGCAGTCAACATGTCAGCATGATAGCATAAGACTGCATTCATTTGCGAGAACCTGGCACTTACTGCATGAGGCTTGATAGCTCTCCACAATTACTCCATGCACAATTGAAAATTACTCAATTGGCAAGTTTTGCCTTTTGCAGGTTCCTGGTATATTGCTGCATCAAAGTTCTTCCTAATCTAATCTTCATGCTTGCAATTTTTAATTTCTTTCAGTGGCCAACATTTTTCTCAGATCTTCTTCAGTGCTTGCAGTTTGGTGCCAAAGCAGTAGACATGTATCTGAGGATTTTGAAAGCCATTGACGAGGAAGTAGTCGACAGAGATGTAACAAGAAATCAGCAGGTGTGTGTGTGTCTAAATTGAACGATAATCAGCTCAAATTCAAATATAAATGCTTTTTTTCTCTTTTTTCATTTTTGTTCTTTTTTATAGGAGGCAGACAGAAACATGAAGATCAAAGATGCTATCAGAGAGACTTGCATCACAAATCTTGTGGACTCTTGGTATCAAATCTTGGTATGTTTTCTGTTTTGTGTAACATGACATGACATCTCAACAGAACAGTGGAAGAAAAGTAGTTAATAATTTATTTATTCAAAAAATGGTTCTACAGCTAGCACAGTATAACCTTAACATTCAGCCAAAACTAATCTAATCTTACTATTCTTAAGCAGAATACCTACGAGAACAGTTTATCATCAGTTATGTGCCTATGCTTGGATGTTATTGGAGCTTACATTGAATGGATTGATATTGGCCTGATAGCAAATGATAGATTTATAAGGTGAGAACAGTCATTTGGGTCTGCTTGATCACAAAGTGTAATCAGTCCCCTCTCCTTTTCTGTTAACTTTTTATATCCTAACATCAGTATGCATATTCTTGATACTCTTCTTGATACATTTCCTAAGATGTTGACAAGGAGAATTTGTCAACATCTTAAAATTAAGAGCTTCCTTACTTCGTGATTATTTCCTTAGTTTATTCTTGTGACTTAAATGTTTGATTTTGGGGTGATGATTTAACAAAGAGTTAACACCAACTGATGTGGTGGTTATGTACATCCAGTATTAGTAACAAGGGAGGTGTTCATAGGAAAGTTAGATCAATCCTCTTATTGTTTGTAACGGCTGTGGTGACCAGCATGCTGGATTTTTTACAAGGAGCTCTTTGTGTGACTCTTGGCCAGCTGGTAGTTTGCTCTGTTCTTGGATGAGTCACTTAACTTCCTCCTCTCCCCCCTCTCCACCAGGAGGTAGCCCTCCTAGCTGTGACAGTTTAAGTCGTGAGGTGTGGCAAGTTGCCAATATGACATCCTGTGTTCAAGTTCATGTAGCAAACTGTATGGTTTTATTACTTAGTTTCATTTTTTTCTCTTGTGGATATTTTAAGTGAAGTAATCATTTATTTCATGTACAAGTTGTATAGTATTAACAATGGGTTGTCAATGGGTTGTCATTTTCTCTGATACAAAAGATTGTGACCAATGCAAATCAAATCAAATCAAATCATGCTTTTATTATAATTTATAAAGGAAACATGAGAGGTTATCTCTAAGGAGGACCTTCCCACATAAAATATAATGTAAATTATAAGACAGTGTTAAAATGTAAGAATTATTAAGATTGCTAAAAATTTTAAAAATTTTGACCTTTACACCAAATGATACTTAAATCCTGCACAATTTGTGGTGACTATGTTGTATTGTAAGGTCATGAAATGGCTATGAGTGCGAAGCCTTGAGAGCTATGAAATGGGTATTAGCATTTTTTAGGATAACTTGATATAGACAATGAACCACTATTTGATTGAAAGAGATTTCCATCCAGTGTGTATCTTTTTAAATGATATAATTATTGAATTTTGTTTCTACTGTATTGTTATTTCCTAGTGCCCTTCTTAGATACATGTCAGTGGAAGTCCTCCGTGAGAGTGCTTGTGATTGTATCCATGAGATCATCATGAAGGGAATGGAGCCAGTTGCCAAGCGGGAACTCATAGAGTCTCTTGTCAGTGTTTTAGAAAAAAGCGGAGTCCTTCAGCTGCAAGAGGTACCCTGCTAACATTTTATGGTATTATTTATCAGTAATTCACTGAAGAGTTAAGTCTTCTAAGTCTTTTATCAAATGACCCTTGGGGAAAATTGTGTATTGTTGCCAGAGAATTCTTAGACATCTGTTGCCTCATGTACACCCTAAGAATTCCTAACATCCTTTGTAAAGAGTGTTCTGTTTATGTTTCAGGATGAAGATGCTGATTTTTTAGCTAAAGTGTCAAAATTGATGAATGCTGTTGGAACACAACTTCTTAACAGCTACAGCAAGTAAGAAACAACTGTCCAAAAGCAGAGCTGGACAACATCATTAGGTGTTCTTCTTTCCTTTCATCTTTCTCCTGATGTTATTCTATTTTCTCCTCTCTCTTCACTCTCATCTTTCTGATCTATGAACCATTAACTTTTACTAATTCTTTGTAAAAGTTTTTTGGTTCTCCTGCTATTTGTCAGTTTTCTGCTTTGTGTTTGGCTTTTTCTCTCCAATGTGTCTCACTTTTCAGCTGTAGTTCACATTATACTACCATGCTTCTACAGAGCTCAGTGCCACAAGTTACCAACTTTTGTTTTTGTAAACTGGTGTGACTTTGCTTTTAAGAGCCCCTTAAAAAAGTTGGGCCCCCCAGATTTACAAGACAAGAGCCTTCAAGCATTTCCCTCTTCATGATCTCTGTTCTGTAGTTTACGTTCAGGTAATTTTTTTGTAATTATGGAGGGTTTACTTCTTGTTCAGGCTTACAAAGTCTGGTGATACAGAATCTGCAGCCAAGTGCCTCTATGCTGCTGAGAAAAAGATGCAATACCTGTTTAGGTAAGTGACTGTTGCAGTGCTGCTTGTCATTCCTTTAGGAATGTCATTAAATTTGGCAAATTAATGTATTGTATAATGTGTTTTATTACTCCACCATTACACCATCTGATTTCAACATATTTGGGCATGGGAATGCTCAAAATATACCACAGTATTACACTGTAGAACAGGGCAAAAATCCTGATGGAAAGCGGAAAAATAAAAAGAGGCCTTGCTAAACCATGCCAACTTCAGTTCTACTCCAGTAGCTCTGAATAAAAAGACTACACAACTCACAAAACAAATGTGCATATTATAACATTTATGAAAGAGCAGCAAAAACCTCAGTTTATGTGTTGCCTTCACGTTGCTTCAGAATTTTGTCAGCCATCTCTGACAGTTCACAAATACTCTTTCATACTCTATGGCATCAAGGTTCTCTGAAAAATTCAAGTCTTCAGTTAATTTCTTAAATGAAACAGATGTGGTATTGTTGTTAGTCTTCAGTCTTTCCATTTCTTTTGCTGTATAATATCAGTTGTTTCTTTGCAGATTTCTTAGTCATGATGATGATGATGTGTCCCAGAATGTGTCTGGTTTTGGATATACTTACTTGACTGTGTTGAAACAGGTAATTTGACTGGAAACACTGGGGGATAAGCAGGCACTTCAACAAGTGGGGGGAGGTTGGAGCTTGGCTCAGTATTGTAAATTACTGCCTTTCCCCTAGCCTGCATTTAGCATGACCATACTTTGGCACAAGTCTTTCTTCAGATACCATGAGGACTTTGAGCAATGCAAGCTTGTAAGAGGTCAACAAGGGATCTTGCACTGATAATTAGTGACAGTCCTCCAGCAAACCTCTCCTGACTTGTCTCAAATCTTACCATGGGCAGAGAAACAAGCATTCTGCTGCATTAATTAAAAGGGCCTGTTTGCAGGCTAGCCTTTCCTTAATGGAGTGGAGTCACAACCACCCAAGTAACTTACACACACCTTTGATGCTTGTTTCCTCATCAGAACATGCAGCATGCACTTTGCAGTGTGACATTTTTAATGTAAATCAGCAGGATCAGTTTCAGCATGTAGATATGAATTAAATAAAATTCAAAGATTGAAAATAAAGAGATCAGGCACTATCAGTTGTAAGTTGGTGGATACTGCTCGATTTTGGTCAATCAATGACCATTCGAGAAAGTTAATGACAATGATCATTATTCCAAAGCTGTTCATAATGACTTTAAATTTCTTTCAGATTGCAAATCCAAGTGAACAACAGAAAGAAAACTTAAGGGTAAGATCGAAGCTCTTCAAATTTGATTTTCAAGATTTTTAAAAGGTGGAATGCAGATACCTGTTGGTTGATAATGATTTTAATTGTGAACAATGAATGAACTTGATTTAACTTATAGCATTACAGTGGAACCGTGCAAACTCAAACCCCTGGGTAACAAGCAGAGGGTCAGATTTCCATTGACCCATTATTTCTGTCATTTACCATCAGCTAACTCAAACCCCTGCTGACTCAAACCATTTTTTGTTTCCCCTGGGAGTTTGAGTTGGCAGCTTCTACCATATATTGAGAGTGGGAAGGCAAATGCAAGAAAATGCATGTACAGTTTCAATTGATTGTTTCCTCCAAGCCTTACTTTCAAGGAAACTTTTTGCAAGTAATACTGTAAGTCTGATTAGTTTTTTTTTTGTGGAATATTTTTAGGGAATTTTGCATGTCATTATCAACAAGATGAAGTACGATGAATCATACAACTTTGATCATGAGGTAAAGGTCTTCATACAATTTTATGAAAAGGGTGTGTAAATGTGAGGCTCAAATTTACATCATCAGATATTTTTCCAAAATTCTTTCATTATGAAGACGACGACTATTGCATCTTTCAGGGTGAAGATGAAGTGATGTTCATGGAATATAGAAAGGAAATGAAGATCTTATTTGACAATATTGCTCAGCTGGTATGTTAGTGCGACAGTATTATTTGAAGTAGTACTCACAGAATTTAAACTTGGAGGATTAATTTTTAAATATTTATTTATTTGTATGTCTTTCAGGACCCTAATCTTGTGCTGGTCTCAGTTCACAATATTTTGAATTCAACATTTGGGTAAGATTAACCCATTAATCTCTTAGAGTGGCTCACGCAATTATTTCTCCTGAAAGTTCTACACCCAAGAGCAACAAATTTGTGGTCATAAGAAGAGTGGAAACAACTACCAACTTAAGTTGCTCTTGATTGGTAAACAAATTCCGCTCTCAAGAACCACAGGAAATGTGCTGTATAGAAAACATTATGGAGAATAAAACACACTATTGTTGGGGTGTAAAGTCCAGATCAAATTTGTAATTCTCCTTACCCTCAACCATACAATTCTTGTAATGTTAGTTCAGAGAATTTAGTATTGGATCAACTAATTATTCCTAAATTGGTATTTTTCTTTATTCTCATCCCTTATCTGGTTGATATTGTATTGATATTGTTAGGAGAAATTTTGTCTTGGTCACTCATGGGTGTTAAAGGGTTAAAGAAGTTCAATTCTAGGTACAGCGGTGGCTGAAATAAGACTGGCTATCTTAAACATTCAATCTTTTTTTTCTGCAGGCAATTAGATGCAGCCAAGTTTATGGATGTGGAGATAGCTGTGCGGGTTCTTTACATGGTTGGAGAAGCAATGTCGGTAAGGGGGCTCTTCTAGTTTGATCTGAAATACTTTCTGCTTTGTTATTGTTAATATTTTTGCTACAGATAGTAAAATGCTAGAGAGGGTGAGGTACAGATGTTACAAAATGTTTGTAGACCACATTTTGGGTAATTATTCTTTTATCAACAGACCCAACAATTGTACTCTGATGCCTCAAAGTTTTCAGCGCTTCAGCAAATGATGAGTTTGGTAGGTTATTTTTTTCTTTCGGCAGTGCATGGACTGGACAGTTAGGTGGACAGACAGATGGATAACAGGGTAATTTAGACAGAGTGATTGACTGACTGACTGACTGATTGACTTACATCGAGTTTCTGACCACCTGAGTGACTGAATAGTGAGTTAGTGGATTAATAAACAGACTGACAGACACACTTACTGACTCACTCACTTCTTGAGGAACTGACTGTTCGACTAAGAACCAGACTTACAGACAGCCAGACTGAGTGAATGACAAGTGATTGACTGTCTGGTTGGTTGGCTGAAAAACAGAAGCAAGAGGATAAAACACGTGTTATTACAGCCTTAAATGGTTTGATTAGGTTTGACTCACTGATCGATTGATCATTTCTTCTAACAGTTGGTGACCAGTAATGTGTCTTACTACAACCACTCCTCGGTGGCTCAAATGGTAACATTTTTTTTCAATTTTTGTACGTTTTCAATCTTGATAGGCATGAATATAATCTTTTTAATTTAACAAATTGTTCGATGTGTTTTCCATTCCCTTTCAGTTCTTTGAGACAGTTGTCAGGTATGACAGATTTTTCAGCATCCAGAGTCAACACATTCCAGCAGTACTGGTGAGAGTTTTGGATTGAACTTGATTTTACAATGAAGAAATGTAAAATGGTTTCTGTGTTTACATAGCCTGATGTAAACACGCGGGAGGTTGGGAGAACACGAGATAAGCTCAGGAAACCACGACACGAAGCGGAGTGGTTTCCAGCTTATCTACTATTTGAATTATTTTATAAAGCCATCTTTTAAAGTTTTCTTTGACAATCCTTCAGAGTCATTTTCAATTTAGTGTCAAAACTGTCCAAGGATTTGGATGTACACAACCTTCTAGACCAGTCAGATTCAAACAAAAATAGATATTGACTTGGTCACTTGAACTCCAATGAGGCTTTTTTTTTTATCTGCCCACTTTGATTGCTCATTTGCACGTCTATGATATTTTCCTTGTTCACATTGCTCATTGTTATTTCGTTGGTTTTGGTTTAATGTCACTCAAGCAAAAAGTGTTTTACAGACATAGACATAGCAGTTCCCCTCACCCTCACGATCTCTACATGTACTTCAAAGAGACAGTTGTGGTTACAACTCCCTGTCAAGTACGCACTGTATCTGTGTATCTGTGTGGTCTCCTCTAGGTTTGCCTGTTAGGCTTGAATTGATTGTAACTGATGATTTATCTAGACTCTTGTCCTTCGAAGAAATGTATTTTTTGCTGTAATAAAAAGAGTTTAAAACTTTTTGTGTCCTAGATTGCTTTCCTCGATGAGAGAGGACTCCGGAATCCAAACTGCACTGTTAGGAGCCGATGTTCCTATCTGTTTTCAAGGTTTATCAAGTCTCACAAGTAAGTTTCATTGTGGAGATTTGCCAAGAGTTATCTGTTAAATAATTTTGCTGTCAAGATAATGTATGGATATTATAGGGAGAAGGTACATGTTGCTCACTTCTGGGATTTAAATTTTGAGCGTTGTGTTCTGTAAATGTACATAACTTTCCTCGCAATATCAGACATAATCACAAGTATTCGCTGACTTTGTTAATTAGCCTGGGCAAGGATAATCTTGTAACAGTAAACTCTCTTGTACTAATTTACTTGCTTGTTTCAGGGGAATCATGGTGAACTATGCTCATGATGTTTTAAAGAGACTACAGGGACTTCTTGTCATATCTGCAGTGAGTATGAGCAAAACTATTTTACTGCTACCTTGTCATACTCTATGAGGGAGACGCGATAGGCTTGTGGTTACCGCTGGACTGTGGGCTCAAAAAGTCGGCGTTCGATACTTGGCCGGGTCTGTGTGCTGTGTTCTTGAGCAAAGCACTAAACTTTCACTGTACTTCACTCCACCCAGGAGTATAAATGGGTACCGGTAAATTATCAGGGAAGCCTGATGAAATTCTGGAGGGTAACCGGGCAATGGACAGGTATCGCATCCAGAGGGGAGTAGCAATACTCCTAGTTGCTTTATGCCATGGAGATCAGGATAAGTTGTGGATGGACCAGTTGGCTTGAGTACAGAGTAAACCTACCTTCCTCCATAACGTTTGATAACCCGGAACCTACAAGTACATATTAAGCTGGTGTTTGAAATTGGGTTTCTTCTTGGGAGAAACAAACGCTTAAGGTTGATTATAATTTGGTCAGTCTTCACAGTTCACACAATCCAAGGTCTCTCCGTTCTTATTCTTTATTGTGATTTTCCTTTCTTTTGAAGGACAATGGTTACCAGCAGCTTCTATCTGCAGATGATCGGGTATTAAAATTTTCTTTTTTTTTTTAATGAAACCAATCCTTATATTTATTTGGTCCGTTATTGAAATATTGTCACGAGTTGTTCTAATCCTCGCTCTCAGAGGTGATCAGCAAGGATTTTCTCCTTACAATATCAATACATGTTCAACCAGATATAGATAACAAAAAAAAAAATGTAACAACAAGGGGACAGTGCATGATTAAATGCAAGATTCTCAGACCAAGAATTAGAAAAAATGTATGGCGGTCAGTGAGGGGAAGTTGGTATCTAGATCTTGGCAGTGAGGAGGTTAATGGCGGTGGCTTATTGATGCAATCGTTGATCACTTGTTTTTGAAAGTGTTTAAGATCCAATTTTTTTTTTGTGAATTATTTTCTTGTAGTTGTTCCTTTATGAGAGCGCAGGTATTCTCATTGTTGCTAGTGGAGCAGTACCAGAGGTAAGAAATTTGGGAATAAGTAAATAGTAGCTGGGAATGCCTCAAACCTATGGTTGGTAGAGTTCAGAGCACTTTCCTTTGCCTTTACCCAAAACATGAAGATCTATTTGGACCTAGTAATCCGCTCGATACAGATAGAACAGGGTTAGATTTAAGACTTGGTACAAAATTCAGTTGCTGCTCAAGAAAAGCGGCCAATTGAACCTTTAACCCTTAAGAGTGATTAGCCTCTAATTTATCCTCGCAATATCACCCCTGAATCAAACATTGGGGTGACAAGAATAAAAGAAAGGTCACTTACTAGAGAAGCTCTTTGTTTTGGAACAAATTCCCCTTCTTAGCGCCTTAGGAAATGTATAAAGAACAGTATGGAGTAAAGGGTTAACGCCTAAGAGTGACCCTACTACAGTGTTCTCCTTTTCAGGCGGTAACCAGTAACATTTACCGCCTGTAGTACCTCTTATTACCGTTTAAAATTGCTTGGAATTCTTGAAATTCAACAGGTGAAAGGATTTCTTTACCGGTTTGAAAATTTACTTTACCTGTCATGCTTAAAATAAGGGAGAACACTGTGACCCTAATCCTAATTTCTCCTTACAATATTAACCCTTTACACCCTAACGTCAGTACGCATATTCTCCATACTGTTCTATATACATTTCCTAAGATGCTGATAAGGAGAATTTGTTTAGCAATCAAGAGTTTCTTTAGTTGGTGATCATCTATGCAGATGGCCAAAAAAAATTATTTTATACGCAATGCCCGTTTACACAACGGAGAATACAAAAATCGTCTATTTTTAGATCAAAATGTTTGATTTCATACCCAGCTTTAGACTGAATATAAAAATCGTACCAACACCTTTTGGTGTAATTCTTAGCTCTATTTGTCATACGATAAAGAAATTTCCATAGAATTGCAGGGAAGCTACTGCACTTGCAAGGGTCTCGTTTGTTATCTACGACTCGTAAGCGACGAAGTTAACTTGATAATTTTTCTTTATCTTTTCATTTTCAGAAGCAGCTGATGTACATGAAGGACTTACTGTCCCCTATCATCGAAAAGTTTGATTCAGTTGTTAGCAAGGTAACGATACTTGCATAGTGAAACCCCTCCAGTCAATACATAGAAACAAGGATGTATCCACGTTAAGTCAGAAAGTCAGTTGGCAATCAGTGATTTGAACCAGAATGCTTCTCAACTGAGTGTAATGGAACCAAAACCTAAGTAATCACAACCGGCCAATCAGAGCGAACGAAAATCTCATGAAGAGCCAATGAGAACTCAGAGTAAGAACAACCCTACTGCCCAAAGCGCGGGAAAACGCAGATTTTCTGTTGTTTTTTTTTCTGCAATCCCGGATGACCTTTGACACTAAAGTGGAGATTGCCATCATGTGACTTTTTTTCAGTTAGTTATCGCTGTAAATCATTATTTACGGTATTTTTATCTCATTTCAGCTAATGTCGGAGACCAATGATGCCTCTTCCTTGGTGTTTGCCCAGCAGCTCTATCATCTCGTTGCCTATGCAAGGTAACTCTAGGGATTTTACAAGATTTTGTGTCACAATACGGAAAAAACTTCGCTTTCTCTATGATATTTCTTATCTTCATGGACTTTATTGGATTGTTGAACTAGAGCCGCCTAGAGATTTTAGAAAATACTTGATTATGTGACGAAATTTTTATTGAGTATCGAAAGCGTCCTAGATCAAGCGTCCTAAACAACGTGGGATTTGTGGTAGCCTGAGATTGACACCTTTTTTGCGTTTTTTCCGAAAAGCGGAAGAAATCAAAATCAGAAGGAGAGCGCTATGGGGAGTCTAGCTCCTGGGAAAGGAGGGGGAGGGAGGGAGGAGGGAGCGAAAAAATTACATTTCAGTCACTTCTTTCGAGCCCCTCTCTTCGCGCATGCTTCGCCACGCACCCTGTCCTCGCGCTCATCTCTGTTCGTCAATGGAACGGAAAAATGTCGCCTGTCCCTAAGGCTAGCTACATGATCCGTTTCCAACCTAGCTTGCAAATAGGTGAAATTTTTGTTTTTGCCTTTTTCTGTCGAACGGAGGCAAGGCGAAGTGCGAATCTTGTGCTCCTCCCCTCGCGCTAGACTTTCACTTTGCGCTCGCCTCGCGTTTGCCTCCATTCGCCTCAACGAATCAGATGAAAACACTAAACCATACACGGCTTAAACAGTCGCATTTTGCTGTATTCACGACGGTTTTGCTTGTTCTCGTTTGCTCTTTGTAATAATTTTCTTTATTCTGATCCGCCATCATTATATCGTTGATCGTGGATTTTAGGACACTCACTACGAAAACGACCTGATAAGCTTCTGCTTTCTTTTATTTCAGTCGAGCCAGTAAAGCTTTCCCCAACCAGCAAGCCCTAAAAGAAAGTGGCTGTGCACCATGTTTTACAGAGGTAATGTTAACCCTTTACACCCTAACATCAGCATGCATATTCTCCATACTGTTTTCTAAACATTTCTTAAGGTGTCGACAAGGAGAATTTGTTTAACAATCAAGAGCTTCTTTAGTTGGCAATCATTTCCCTTATTTTCGTGAGTTTCGTGTTTGATTCAGAAGCGATATTGTAAGGAGAAATTAGTCGCTGGTCACTACCCTATGTAGTGTGTCACCAGAACGGTTAGGAGCTGTAAGTGCTCTGGAAAAAACAAAAAAAAACAAAAGAAAAACCGAAAAAAGACGCTTCTCATCAGGATAGACTGTTCCAGATTTCTTTACATTTACATTTGCACTTCCACTTTTCAGGCTTTGCCAATTTTCCTCAAAGCGCTGCACATACCTATTCATCGAGACACCATTCACTCTGGTGTGCGGCAGTACCTCCACAGGATGATTGTTTGCCTGGGCGAGGGAGTGCTACCCTTCATCCCTGTTGCAGTTTCACATTTGCTGGAAGATTGCACGGTAAGTACCAATGGAGGCATGACGTATATACTGATGAAGAAAGCACAGGTTGGAAATGAAATATTACAATGTATTTCCCTTGGTGGGAAGCTAGTCTATGGCAGATTCTCCGCAATATTTCATCATTCCCGTGGCTCGATGATGTTCCTTGAGATGGATTGGGTTTGTGTGTAAAGTTTCAGCTTGTACGATAAGTGCAATTACCTCAGTAAGGGGGGTAAGGTTTTAAGAAAACTGTAGTGCTGCGTTGGTGGGAGAGTATAACGGGGTAATTTAGTATTATCAACTGAGCTGATGATGTAAATTAGCCATCGTAAAGAGTTTAAAAGCTGAAGTTTCAAGCATTAGCCCTTCGTCAGAGCGATTGGAGAAATTGTAAGTTATGTGTTTATATGCCGAAAATGGAGCTACGCTATTGGTGGGAATATGGTGACGAGAAAACAATAATAAATTAAAAGCGCTCTGTGATACCGTGGGGATTACCAGTGCCGATTGGAAAGGTAAATTTTTGTTCTAGAGTTTTGCGGCTTTTCAGCCTGCTTAAATGTAGGGAAAGGCCGCAAATTGCCATATGCTGCTTAGAACGGTTAGGGAGATTAAAGTGTGTAGAAACTGGTTTGGATGCGTCCTTGTCATTTCTTTCTACGTCGCGAAGGTGTTCTCGGAATCATTTAGAGCTTGGTGGTGCCCGTTTCGATCCAGCCTGCTAGACACCAGACCTCCCCCTCTTCCTTCTCACTAAAGAACGAGACTCGCTTGTATGCCATATGCTGGGCTTGAACCAAAATCTGGCTGCATTTAATTTTCGAAACGCTCACAGGGAGACCAGCACAGTACTTTCTAATTTAAGTGATTCAAAGATTTTCTTTGTTTTGTTCCAGGCGCGGGACATTCAAGAATTCATTCCGCTGATCAATCAGATCATCAGCAGATTCAAGGTACATTTCTAGAGTGTCTTCTTATGCATATTTGTAAATGACATATTTGCCCTTCTCCATTGCTTTCGCGAAGTTCCAAGGGATAAACGTAATAAGAAATCTCGAAGGTACGGCTGAGTCAAGGACCCTTAAGTTGAGATTCTTCTACTCTTCTTCGATTCCTCCATTTTCTTATCGGTTTTAGTTGTACGAATTTGTAATATCAATGACCAAGTCATACGAGCTCAATATTTCTCTTTTTTTGTTTTCACGTTTCCTCCTAGACTCAAATTGGCCCCTTCCTCAGGGACGTTTTCATGGCAATTGTTAACACAATCTTCACGGTCCTTGGCAAACCAGCGGATGAAAAAGATGCACAGGTTACGAAGGCCTCCTAAACATCTTAAATCTCAAGATCTGATAAAAAATTCTGTCATTTAATAACCACATATTTATTTGTTTGTTTGCTAGTCTGGAGAACTAGCAGTCCTATCAGAACAATGTCCCCTAATTGGTAGTTGTCTTTCGTCTCATTAGCGGTCTACTTGATAATCGTTGAAATTGTAAGGAGAATCTATAAACTTATCTCTCCTAGGCTGAAACGAGCCATAGGATAATCCCGCTCCCTCCTGAAATAGCGCTAGGCTCAAGGATCATCTCTTCCCTATGCTCAAGTTGTGAAAGTGAAATGTTTTCCTTCTTCGACATCAAACCCAACTTGTTCTCTAATTTTGAGTGAGCTTATCTTGATTTGTTCCAAACGTATCTTGAGAACATGTCGATAGTCTACACGCACTCGGTAAAGGCGTGAAAATTTTGTGTCAGCGCGTTGCAGTTACGAGTTTCATAACCGACATGCGTCCAAAACAGTTCATTCTTTTCCTGTCGCAGACGTTTTAGCTCCCCCTACTTTCTAAGTGCAATATGACGCCCCATTCTATTTAGCACTTACGGTAGTGTTGTTCATAATTTCTTGCAGGCTGTCAAGGAAAAGGAAACTCTGAGGCGTAGTTATTTCTTGTTTGTGGGTGCTGTGGTAACTAATGATGTGACAGTGGTCCTCACCTCTCAAAGTGAGTGACAGGTTCTCGTTTCTTCTCTCCATTCGTTTTTTTTTTATATACACCTTTCTCCTCCAGCGTGTGCTGAACTCCAGATCAAGACTTCTGGGCTTCAACCATGGTTGAGCCATTGTGCTGTGTCGTTTAAAGAGACTCTATGAGCTGCTTGTTTACACAAAATTTAGCCGTTTTTTAACAATCATTTTTATGAACAGTGTCCAGAAGACCGAAAGCTAACAGTGGAATGACATTTATTTGATTAAATCAACCCACTTATAGAGAATCCCTTGGGCCCACTGCTCGCATAAAACCGCGGTATGAGCGAGACTTCGTTATGTAGCCTCTCCCCACCCGGGAGTGTAAATAGGTATTGGCAAATTGTCGGGGAACCTTATTGGAGGGCTGCTGGCAATGGACCACATTTCCATTGTGGAGGAGTAGGAAGCACTGTATCTCTTTAGGAAACAGAGATAAGCTAAGGTGGAAATGGACTGACCGATTCGTCGGACCTTATCCCTTTTTTGAAGATTTTACTTGTTGTCGTGTCAACTATTAAAGGGTTCCTGTACTGTGGTATGGTTTTTATTTTGTTCCCCTTTTTAATCTCATGTTTGGGTCCATCTTTGTGTGGCTTACACGAAGTGTACACCACGCAATGTCGTGGTCCAAGATATTTATTGGTCTTATCAACTGGCAATTGCCGCCAGGTTGTGGAAGCTGAAATAAATCCTTAGTCGATTTTTCAGTGTTTTTTTTAAGTCCCTTTTTTCCTCCTTTCTTTTCTTTTGAAAATTTACATTGTGCTATCTCCTTTTTTTCATATCAGCTCCCCATGATTTGCACCAGGTGTTGTTGACATTGATTCAGGGAGGAGTAGAATTTCCAGATCCGGTGGTAAATACTTTTTTTGTTGTCTGATTTTAAATCCAGAATTGTGAAAAATAAACAACGTTCCGCCCACGTGTGTACGACGTTTACACTCTTTCAACGCAAGATGTGTAATTTCTTACAAACCTTCGCCCTGCCCTCTTGCCCCTCGCATTAATGGAAGACATTCTTTAAATGATTTCTTCTGTGTTATTATCAGGCTCAAAAGATTTCCTTCAATATTCTTCGTAAACTGGTTGAACTCTGGGGTAAGGATTTCTACTTCTGTTTTCTAAAAGTGAATTTTATTATTTGGAGAATCATGATTAAAATTGTGTCTCGTTCACTCCTCGTAGGTGGCAGCAATGGATTGAATGGTTTCAGAGAGTTCATTTACGAAAATATTGTACCCGCAACGTTTGTGGCTCCAATGAAGTCGAACTTTGACATGAATGACGCACAGACTATTTTGGTATGTAACTATTAGCCTCTCTCGTCTTATTTTTTAGTGCTCTGAGAGAGCGTTGTAACTTACCTTCCCTCTATGATAGCATACAGAGCCCTTTCCGATTAATCATTGGAAAACCAAAACCAAAGGAATCGGAAGTTACCTTAAAGAACCAATGTGAAGGTAAAGTCGAAATAATCAAACCGCTAAAGCGCGGGAAAACGCGGGCGACCAAGTCGTGGTTGGTTTTAGTGTCTCCTCTGATTGGCTGAGAGAGGGGCACGAGTTTTCAGGACCAATCATAGAGCAAAGTAAAGCGAAAACAAAGCAATCCAGGATTACTTTTTATACTCAATTTTAAATTGCTCTATCCCGTTGGGTCTCAATCAGCTAGGATATTTGACCTTCCTAAAGCCTTCTTCGTCATTGTGAATAGTTTCTTTTACGTAGCTATCGCGTTAGAGCGGTTCTCGTCTGAGCTTTGTTCAAAGAAAACCAAAAATATTTACGACTTCTAAACAGGTTAAAATTTCTGCTCATGACCGTTTTGTCTGTCCAACAGGCTTTGCAGGAAATTGCTCTCACGCAGAAAATGATTTTGCAGAAACAGGTATGGCTGTTTGCAGTCAATAGATATGACTAAACATCCAATCAATTTTTAGCCGAAGGGCATCTTTGTAAATTGGTTGGGATAATTTACTGTTATATAAAAATGAAGTCCTCCAGTTAAGTTTAAAACTTAACTTTTATTACTTATAAACTGACGTGGGAGAGACGGTCTGGGCTCGAGACCTGGACGGGTCAATGTGTTGTTTGCAAAACAATTCACCCTCACAGTGCCTCTGTCCACCTAGGAATATTCACCCGGTGAGTTGTCGGGGAAGCCTGATGAAATGCTAAGAGATAACCTTGTGATGGACTAGCATCCTATCCAGGGGATAAGGAGTTGTGATACTCCTCCATTTGTTGTAGCTTCATGCGAAGGAAACCGAGATAAGTTCTGGCCGGGTGGGCCACTGGGCTCAAGTTAAGACTTTTTTCACTTTCCTATTGGCTGATGTAGAAAAACTTAAGAAGAATTTGCATGTCAATCGCTGGTGAGAATACTCCTGGATTAATATCCTCTTTTTTTGTGGCTTTCAGGGAATAGAGTTTATAGAATTCCTACAGAACAAATACCTTCCAACACTTCAGATTGCACCAGGACTCATTCAGGTAGGCGCTAGCTTACCGTGGATGGTTTATCGATCAACTCTCTTTGTCGGGTCTCCCTCATTTGTTTTCCAGGTCGAAATAAGAATTTGGAGTGTTGTTCTTCGCAGAGGGGGACGGGGAGAAAAAACCCTTGGAACAACATCAAATAAAACCCATATGTAACGCCAGGTCTGGAAATCAAACTGGAACGCTTTCACCATTGCGTCATCCCTGCCCCCCCCCTGGGGAAATACCCTCAGACGTTTCTTTCCCCCCCCCCCCCCTTGCCCCTGGAAATAGCCTCCCGAACAACCTTCGTATTTTACCTACGGACGTTACCCTTAAACATCATGCCCCCGACGTCAATCTGAACGCTACATCTGGACATTACCTTCTGGATTTTTTCCCCGGACTTAATCCTCCGGACATTCCCCATGGACATTCCTGACGAACATTCCCCCCAACTGACTCCTTCCCTTCCCTGACGGATATTGTTAATTTGTTTGTTTGTTTGCTTGTTTTTTTTTTACTGTATTCTTAGGAATATACAAGGGCTTTACAGCACGCAGACATAAAAACCTTCAAGAACTATATAAAGGTACCTTGGGGATGACTTGTTTATGTTATTCATTTATTCATTGATTTATATTTTTTTCCTTTTATTTACTTCTTTTCTCGTGTGTTTTCTGCATTTACGATTCCTCTCTGTTAAAGCCGAGACAAGTAATGGTAATTGTATCGCATCTAAATGACTCTTTATCCAGGCTTAAGTTTCCCACGCCGTTATGCTTTCCGTCACGCAACACTCGCTACGGAACGCGCTTTTATCGTTGCGTGACGAGCCAAATAGGAACGGTGCTGAATCTGCCTATTCGTGCTCCGCGATCTCCAATAATGGTGTATAGAATAGTAATAAAACCTAATTCTCCCTAATCCTATCTAAATTAAATATTTAAATGCAATGGTAGTCGGCATGCTTTCAGTGCTTTGTATGATGTTTGTGGTCAACAACTGTTTATTTATTTATTGTTTTCAGGCTTTTTTCACCAACCTTCGTTCTTGACCAAGGCTAAGTCCCTTCACCACCAGACGGAGGGAACGAGTTTTGTTTAATATTAATATATGTAGTTACAGTGTGGTGGCTGTAAAAACAGAGGATAGAGTTTAACTTTAATTTTATCATAGAGATGACAGCGTCCCCGAATAAGAAAATCGAAACAGTTAGTGTTAAACACAAAATTTTACAGATCAAAGGTTGAATGATATTTACAATTTGAGCAAAGCCTTAAACAGTTCTTGAAATTATCTTGAACATACTAAACTACCTCATAAGCTATTCTTTTATTTTAAAAAGAGTCAGTATTTGGTAAACCTGTCAAAATTGCAAATCTGCTCTCTTTTAAATAGAAAAAAGCACCGAATTTTCTACAAATTCTTTTATATTGGTAGCAGGGTCACCGATTTATGATGGTGGGTTTTCCTGTAAAAGTGACAGCACTTACTTCAGTCTAAAACTTTTAAACTGAGCCTTTATTTAAGGGTACCGCAATCTCGCTCAGTGAAAGGGTGTTGAACAGATCCATTGTTACGTCTAGAGGGTAAATATTATTCTGTAAAGAAACAAACAAATTAAATGTATCTTCAACGGGACTCTTTTTAGAAGAACACACTAGTCAGAGAAAGGCAGTGTGCCTCTATCCCCTTCACTCCCAAGATCTGAATATTAATTTTCTGCATCGTCAGCCTTACATTTCATATACTATTAATTCTGAGAATTTGGTGTTAAGTCAAGCATCATCCCGCTGGTGATGATTTTTCTAGCTCTCCATCACCTTTCTGCTTGACATTATGTTGATATTGCAAGGGGGAAAAGTGTCCCTTGATCGCTCCTGGGATTACAATTCTTAAATTTGAATATTATGGCTAGGAAACCAGTCAGTCTGTGCATGCATATTTAAGCGTTTGCTGGCAAATGGAGAAATTTACTTTGGGGTTCACTTGTAGGTCTCTAATCGCTATAAATTTCCTGCAGAAGTATTACTCATATTCACAAAAATGCAAATATATTCAATTTATTGCTCAAAGGCGGGCAAGAAAAGTTAAATTTTTGCCGTCTGCTTTCGCTCTAACCCGGTTCTTAATAATGTTAATTTGTTATTATAAATTATTTCAAGACCTTGATTTGTTAATAGTATCCTACATGTACAGAAGAAAGAATTTCGCTTTAAATTAACCCAAAGAAGTCAACCATATTTTTTTCTTACGTTTCCTTTGTTTTTCCACTGTATTTCGTCAACCACGAACACAAACTTGTTATTCAGGCATAGACATATTATTTTTTACGCTTTTTACGAACATTAAGTAGCGTTCATGTTTAGAGACAGGCAGAGGAACTCTAGATAAAGAAATAACAACCTTTGAAAACCGTCATGTTTTGTTATTACCTGTTCTGTCACCTTTCGTAGAATTAAGTTGGGTAAGATATCCGCTCAGCCCTTTACTTTATTATGCATACAGTCTTGGATAAAGAAAACAATGGCGAAGGTAGAACGAAACTGTGTAGAAATCTTACCATGAGTTATCTTCGTCGCTCCAAGTGGGTTACAAAATTCAGAAATGGAAAATTAAGGCGCAGAGAAAAAGAACTTATTGAAATAGGCAAGTGTTTCCCTCGAAACCAAAATTCTAAGACCGGTTGCTCATTGATTGTAGGCTCAATACCGATCTTTTGTAACCTAATTCTTCTTCGATCTTTCTTGTCCCACATTTCCCTTAAAAGGTATATCTGTTTATATTCTTGGAAAAACCGGCGGAAGGATCGAAACTGGACTGAGTTACCTTTTTTCTCGGAATAATCAACTCTGTGTCATCATCCGGCTTTTCTGATGAGTTGGAAAGGAATTTTACGACAAGTTAAGTATCTGCGTGTATCGTTTTACCTGAGGAAATGCTGGAGTGGATAAATTCTCTTTTGAAGTGTCTTCGTGTGAAAAGATGCCTAATTAGATCTAGGCAACCTTTTGAAAATACTTCTTGAAAACAAAGCGTTAACTTCACTTGCGGTACATAAAAAGTTGGGGAATCTATGGAGCTCTCATAGATGAAATAATTGCAAGTTTGTGTGTTAGCTAGAAGCGGTGAGTGACCATCGGCACATTATTTATTGTCAATGTACTGCTCTGAGAATATTTAATTTCCAAGTGTTTTTAATCATTTGGGATCAAGCAGGGCCGAGTGACCATTGACATACGCAGAATTTTGCACCGCTAAAAGTGTGTTACTTTAATCTTTACCCAACTTTTATAGACACCTTCGTTAATCTTTCTTTCTAAGGAAATCTCTCACTTAATTCCAGGTTAATTAAGCAATATGTATTAAGCTCCTGATCGTGCTACCTCGATTCAGTTAATTAACCTTTGCACACCCAAGAGTGATAAGCAACCGATGTCTTCAGTCTTATAGCATCACCGCTGAGTCAAATGTTAAGGTCCTGAGAATACAGAAAAAGATCGTCAGCTGAAGACGCTCTTGATCATTGAAGAAATTGTCCTTGTCAGTGCGGGAACAGTATGGGGAACATACTGGTGTAAGATCGTGTAATGCTTGAAGGCTTACTAAATCAAATACCACACTTGGCCAATTAATTTCACTTATGCTATTCACAAATATCACAAAATGAGACTACTTGTGATCAAGTGCCGGTATTTTCCTTTTCAGCAAGGGAATTTCAAATGAGGTTTCAAAATAATCCGTTATCAATTTTGCATTTATGACCGTGTACGACACGTCATTTACCAAGGAATTTCCTTTCCGTCCCAAGCAAAAAACTTCCCATTATCCTTCACTTCCAGTCCTTCAATCACCTTCATGAGGCAATTCACAGAATACTCCGGGGTAAATATCTTGGCGGGGTCAATATTTCTGTGGTATCGTCTAGACAAATCTGTGTTCACTGTTCCAGGATGTAAACAAACACATATGACCCGCTTCCTTCCAAGCTCGATACTGAGATTTTTCGTAGCCATATTGAGAGCTGATTTAGACATTCTGTAACTGTACCAGCCACCTAAAGCATTATCCGAGATCGATCCAACTCTTGCTGATATATTTACCAGAATCCCAGCCAAAGCATTCTTATCTGCACTGGTTCTCTTCGTTAGCATTGGACTAAAATGTTTCGCCATTATCAAGGGGCCTAACGCATTCGTTGCTAAAGTCGTCTGTAGACTTCGTAGATCGACCTCTCGCAGGCTTGTTTCTCCTTTACCACTAGGATGCAGCATCCCAGCGCAGTTTACCAACAAATCGAGTTTCGTATCTCCAACGCTAACAGCCACTTCAGACATTTGATTTTCATCTAACACATCGACACGATGAATTGATAGGAGGTCGCCATAATCGATTTTAAGTTGAGACAATTCTTGGGCTTTTGAAGGGTCTCTGCATGTTGCAATCACAGATGTTTGTTTAGAAAGCAAGTAACGGCACATTTGAAGACCAATACCGCGGCTAGCACCTTGAATCAAAGCGCTTTTGATCATGTTTTTCGACGTGGTTTTCACCAAAATGTCAAGAGAGGAAGTGGCGTTATGTAAGCAGTTGTGACAGTAGACGAGAAAGGGCTGGAACGAGCAAAGTATTGCGTTACAGGACGAAAACCGAAACTGCACGCGGGAAAAATCAAACAGGGTTAACGGCAATTAAGCTGTTTTTAGCTCGGTAATACCCTTTATATATTTTACTTTCAGAGCATAGTTTCAGAAGTATACGAAGCAGTAAAGAAAATCATTAGTTCTATAACATTCTTTAGCCTGGCTGTTTTCCTACAAGAAGCTTCAAGGTACGTTTTCGACACGTTGCACGTCTTTCAGCATGGTTTTCAGTATCATTTTAAATATTGACAGAGGTTCTTCTTCCATGTAACTATAAGTAAGACCGAAAGTTTTATTCAGTTCACAAACTCCAAATTAAGTTTCCATTCTCTCATGTTGAATTACAGAATTTTTTCAGTCTTTTGAAACCAACACGCTCAGGGGTGCCCAGAGGCTTTTAACAGAAAATACTTTCAGTACATTTATTTAGTAGACATTTGGGGTTGGGTAAAGTATATTCAGCCAGAATAGGACTTACTTTTTTTCTTAACTTTATTTGGGGATGTAGGAGGCTGGGATAAATTTGTAGGGGTGTGTATGTCAATCAATAAGAATTTTACATCCCCTTAAGAGTTAGGCACTCATCAAGAGGGAATTTTATTCAATCAAATTTTATATCACAAGCTGTGATGAAATTTTACTTTAATTGGTTCTTACCAATGGTCTACTGAAGGACAGAGGCATAGATGACGTCACTGTTAACATCATTTTGCTTTTAACATTTAAAACAAACGGATTTAATGCTGCCGTTGGTCTGCACAGTAACAGATCACAGAAGATCAAAATCAAGTGAGAACATCAGTGACATCCTTGGCTGCTCCTGGTGTGCTACCTTTTTTTTTTCTCACCGCATTTTGATATCATATGTGATCTATTACTGAACAGATGCACAGCAATGCAGAATCTGTTTGTTGAGCCGATAATAATTACAAGAGCCAATAATGATTACAAGATGAGTATCAAAAGTAAACCATGGCTACCCATTTCCTCTGTGTTATGCTCTGCAATTGACCACAATAAAAGCACCCTACCCTCTCACATACCCTTAGTTGTAAACTAAAACCAACTTGAGCTGCTTGCTGCTAGTGTTTTGCAGTATTTGGGGACAGCCACATAACTGTATTTAACTTGTGTTTTATCAGCACCCAGGGATAGTTATCTTGGTTTTTATTGGTCTAATTGTCTTCATCACTGCTTTGGTTCTGTTTGACAATAGTTTGTGGAAAAAAAGATATTATGGAAAAGACTAATTCAATAACCTCTGGATACCTATTATCATAACTTTTAAGTGAGTGGTAAAAATATCTTTAAGAAGGCCAAGAAAATAGATTAACTGAGCATTATCTTCAGAATCAACCAAATCACACATGAATTTACAAACAATGGTCTAACTTACCAACTGTTTATAGAAATCCTCTTGGTATTGGTGCAACAAATTGTCACCTTTAACCCCTAGGAGTGACTCGCATTTAATTTATCCTCACAGTATCACCCCTGAATCACACATTAAGGTCATGAGAATGAAGGAGATGATCACCAATTGAAGAAGCTTTTGATTGTTTAACAAATTCTCCTTGTAAGCCCTTTACAGTTGTACTAATTATCTGCATGATGCTCTTTGGACTACTTCAGAAAAAGACGTACCAGGACTGATTAATGATAATAGGGATAGTGGTAGTGACATCATACAATACAAAATGATGCTTACTGGAAAATTCAAACATCAATATTGCTTGGGTGTATTGCCAGTTTTTATAAATTTTGCTCCTTGTTTACCCTAGATTTTCAGCAAATTTTCAGGATACAGAACATTTTCATCAGTTTCAAACTTGCTGGAAGTTTCCTTCATAGCTAACTGAAAGAAACCATTAAGGCAATATTTTATAGCAGGATGAATGCTAGCATTTAGAAGCAGAGTGAGGTTAATATTTTTTGAGGCAGCATTTGGTAAAGTAAATCTACCTAGACTGCAATTTTCAGAAAATCTAAGTCTATTAATGAATAATAATCTACTTCAAGGTTTTGGTTCCATACTTGATCTTAAGATCTGGCTTAATGCTTCTGCAGGCAGCACATAAGTTGTCATAAAGTACATCTAAATTTATTACGACTAATGTGCTGCTTTGTATAAATTTAGGAAGCTGTCATTAAAAACGTTCATTGAAAAGAAGAGCCAGGCTAACTATGTCATTTTGTTGAAACCTTGCAATTTTAAGTCATTTTCAATAAGGACTCCTGTTTAAGGTTACGATTTTCCACATCCTTTTCAATGAATGTTTTTAATGAAAGTTTCCTAGATTTATATGAATTATTAAACCCTTTACACCCTAACATCAGTATGCATATTCTCCATACTGTTTTCCAAACATTCCCTAAGGTGCTGACATGGAGAGTTTGTGTAACAATCGACAACTTCTTTAGCTGCTCATAATTTTCTTTATTCTCATGACCTTACTGCATGATTCAGGAGTGATGTTGTAAAGAGAAATTAGATGTTAGTCACTCCGAGGGGTTAAAGGGTTAAAGCTAGACAAACAAACAAAACTGTGAGGATCTTTCGTAGGTGTATCCTCTCTCTCTCTCTCTCTCTCTCTCTCTCTTTGTGAGAAGTGTGTCCTCATTTTGGAATTAACAAGTCAACATTACATTGAGAATCCAGAGTGTTCCATGACTTTGGATAAGGTAACATACTTATTTTCACATGCTTTGAGGGTAGCCCAGATGAAATTCTAGCTCTCTTTTGGCAAGTTATTAACTTTTACATGCAAT